GCATCTAAATATACTTCCATTTACCAACTAAAATCTATACTTTTATCCGTAAGTACCTCTAGGCAGATGAGTCCTGCTGTAACTTTGAATACTAAATGTGTAAGATGCGTAGTATGTTTAAAAACAATATTTACTTTGTACCAAAAAATTAAATAAATAAAAACAATATTTACTATCATCAATTACTAAAAGTTTCTTCCGATTGATTTACTAAAAATTCGAATATCCATATCCATGTGGTAGCAGCATAATTGATCCATTAAGATTCACACTAGATTATGGTCGCACGGGTACATAATTGACTAATATCTTTTATTTCTTTATAATCAAAATTAAATAACGCCATTGTAGAACAATTCATATATTTTCCATTAAGAATCTAAGAAGTACTTAGAAAACAATTTCTATTTCTTCCATTAGAAGTACTACTCCACATAATTCAATCATATATGGAAATTGGTATTCCGTTTTTATTGGAGATGCACTAAGCCATCAATGGCTTCTAAATAGGTTTCCAAACACTCAGTATTTTTTATGGGATCAAGTTATCAATATCTTACCAAAATAAAATTGAGGTTTTAAACAAACAAATGAGAAGCCAGACATTGATTTCTATATCGTCCAAACTATCATTCTAAATAAGTTTCCATGTCGTCCTCTACCAGAAAAATTTTTTATCTTCATTCCAGTTTCTTACTCCAGATTTTTTACTTGATGATGATGATGATCAAGTGCAGTTGAATATCAGTCAGAATTCTTTCTTAAAGAAAGCAAAACTCATCTCGCACCTTATTATTCTATTTTAAGAGCACTATCTTGAGTATCTTCATAGCTGTCCAACCTAACAAAATCCTTAGAATCTGACCACTATTCAAGATTCTGATGAATAAGAAATTATAGAACATATGTGGCTCTTGTTGATAAATTAATCATGTCAAAAAAGCGCTGCAAAATAATTATAATAATAAAACTTCAAAAGTTTGGGCAACATGCTTTGACGATGATTTTATCATATGAAATCACCGAGAACCATTTTCAAAAGATCAACAATTCTACCCAATCATTTACCCCTTTTTAAACATGAAAATTTCTGTGTTGGTCGTACAAGTTAATATTTTTTTTGTCAAAATGTTATCCTGAAAATTGTGAAGAGAAAGTTAAGAAGATCAAACATTGATCCTAAAACAGAGTACAAAAGCAATGAAGAAGAACATAGAGGAGTGACAATAGCGAATAAAATCAAGCAACGGAATATTACCTCTATGATTTGCTATCGTCATACAATTTAGTGTTGAAAGAAGTATTGGGAAGAGGACGCTCGATATGTGCAAGCACGATAAAGGGCTTGTATTACTGAAGGCTTATTTCAAAAGAGAACTTGTCAAAATTCGTGAAACTTCGGTAGATTACCCTCAAGTTTGCCCCTTCCAGGGCTGCCTCCATCCGCATCAATTCTTTTCATATCAATAAAGTGAAGAAGATCACAAAGTTCAATGACAAATTGATTAAAAAATTTTTCAAAAATCAATATTGATGATAAGGAGAGCCGAAATTACTATCATCTCTATTGCGAAAAAACTTATAATTCATCTAACTTGTCCACTCGATGTTAATACTCTCACATGACTTTCATCAGGAACACCTCTGTGGTGAGTGGTGAGCGGCTTTGGCTTATCTTCACTTGGCAGAAAGGTTTTTTTAGTTCATAAAATTTGGAATTTGAGTTAAAATGCCGATCAAATTAGTTTTATTGTTCAAATAGCAAAGTTATTTTCCGTTTCAAAAAAGTTAAAAGGGGGAGTTCTTTTATTTTGAAGTTGAAACTGATTTGGTAACTGAATGAAGTAGTAATCAAATGGATAGATTTTAGGATGTAAATCAGTGTTTTTTGGGGAGAAAATTGCGGAGAATTAGAGTGGACTACTTTTAAGGACATATTGACATGTGACATTTTTGGCAAAAAATGGTTTTTGTTATAATGGGGGTTATAGATATGAAATTTTCACAATTGAAGAGGTTGGTTAATTCTGTGAGTTTGCCACTATGTAAACGCCGAATAGTTTAAACAAAACTAAAGCATATGAAGGCTAGAAAAGGTAAAGTGTTTTATAGATTTTAATAGAAATGTAACTGAATGTAGCAGTTATTAGAATATCAAGAAATGAGCAAAAGAGAAGAAGAGATTTACAATAATAAAATTAAATTTTTAATGTTGTTTTGTGATTAAAGTAGATGTAAATAAAGCAGATGAAAGGTTGTCATCATAAAGTTAGATTAAAGTTATATATTGTAATTAAAGTGAAAACACACAAAAATCTCCATCAATAATAATTAAGTACTTCTCACATCACAAAAAAAAAAAAAAAAAACACATATTTACACATGCAAGAGGACTACCAAACCTTTAAGGATATTCAGCAATTATAATATAGGTAGAGTAAATTAGTTCATTAGTTTCTCGTGTTGCCATTTTAATGCCATCATCAAATAATCAAACGAAATGACGTATCTGGAAAAAAAAAAAAAAAAGAACCTATGACCAGTGGACCAAATTTGTTGTGGGATCATAAAAATTTTGGATATAACTTCGATTAGCTATACAGTAATAGTCGACGGTTGATGAACCATTCCCTAAAGGACTTTAGACAAACTAATTATTTTCATTAACAAAATGCTGCAAACAAGTTGCCTGACTATTTGTTTATTTTTTATATATTACAATGTGTAACTTTTATTTGATAAAAATATTTAGAGTTTATTTGACCTACCAAAGACCATTACATACCTTAATTAATCCTAGTGAAATCAGACATATTTGGACGATTACTTGAACAGCGAAAATATTTGATATTACTGTTTGTGTTCTTAATTAGTATTGGTACTTTTATATTTTGTTGCTAAAACTTCGAGAACATTTTTCACTCTCCCCATAAAATTATTATTTTATCCTGCTTATTGTGTCTGGCTGAATAATTATATGTGATATAATAGTTACACGTAATATTTTCTCGCTTGAACGTAGTCTTTGTCTCTTTTGACTTTCTTCTATATGTGCGGCCTGCGTTGTTACTAACAATGGAAATTGAGGTAGAAAATGCAAACAGAACATGCATAACTGATCTATCGATCAGCCCTTGTGTTCCTCCATAATTACGAACAGTTCTTGTGTTTAAAATCATGACTATAATATTTCATCGAACGGGCTTAATTAGCTAGCTGAATATAATTATATTTTTTGTTAAGGAATAATTATTGTACGATAGTTATTCTAAAATAGAGTAAGGAATTAATTTTCAACAACTTTGAACAAGCGTTAAATTAAGTAGGGATATCTCTCTATTTATTATATCTTTTTAGAAGTTAATTATGTGATTTGTCTTATATTCACATTCTCTCCACAAACAAAAATGATCATCATTAAATCGTTGCCAAACACAGTAGAAGTTTATATGAAAGTCAAGAATTTAAAAAAAAAAAAAAACTAATTAATTAATTAAAAGAGGTACGTACCGTCCTCCAAGTTGAGAGATAAAAGAAATTCAAACTAAAAAGCATCGGTTGTGTAACATTTAGAAAATTAAAAATAAAAAATAAAAATAAATACACACACAATACTAACAACATTATTCCGGTCAGGATCGATCCGAGTTCAAAATTTCGTCTCTACAATCTCTTACTTTTTCATTCTTCTCATCCAACTATTTTGAGGCAGTAGCATTACACAATTCAAAGTTGAAGTTGAAAAACATTTGAGAATTTGCGGTCAACCACCTCTGAACGGGGACGATTTTGATGTCACTATGTCGATTAAGATACGTCGGCGCGATCACAATGTAGTCGACGAACCAATTAGCTCCAACACTTAGGTCGTCACCCCCTTGTTTGGAATTGTACGGTAAGGTAGGCCGTGTTGGGCCAGATCCTCGATCACGGTCCAATTTGTGCTTCCGATGTTGAATATTATAAAGGTAGCATATGCATATCCCGCTGAACCAGTAGAGTTTTCTTGGTTTCCGGTTTTCACCATTGCCAAATAAGGGCATTCCGAATCAGCAGCAACTGTGTTTAAGAGAGTGATGGCTGTGAAAAGATGAACCCAAATTAAATTACTTTTAAATGTAGATTGATTATGATGGTTAAAGAATAAAATGACACACAACTCGAAAATTATTCATATCTTTAGAGAGAGGATAATGCTCTTGCAGATTCTGGGCAAAAACAACATCTATCAGTTTTGCCTTGATCCTTTGGGTAAAGGCTTACTGCCCTTAATCAAGAACAATGCATTATTTTAGCTTAATTGTATAAATTTACTAGCCTTTGTTGTTTGGACCCTCCATAATTATTGTAATAATTAAAATTCAGCTTTTATTAAAATTTTTCTAAATAGATAATCATTTTAAAACAGAATGATCATAGAGAGAGGTTGATCGAGTAAAATGTATTGGATAAAGAAAATAATTGTCGCACATCTTATTAGGTTAATCATATTACGATTTTCTTTTAATCTTACTAGGCAGGGGGTTGTGAGGAAAAGAAAAATTAGGTATATAAACTGGGCTACCATTATTGAAAAGGTTAGATTAAAGTAAGAAAGAAATTAAAAACCGAGGAAAAAAAAGCATGAAATTTTTTTTATTATTTGTACTTTTCTGATACACCGATCGAGGTTCGACCGCTCTTAATTTACGTTGGAATTTCAATTTTAAGGTTGGATATTAAAAATAGTACTCAAACATGCTTATGATTTTGAAATTAGATTAATGAAAAACTTCTGTATCTCATAGAATATTTCAGTTTCCAACTGAAATGAACTAAATAAGAATAGTGTTAGTTACTAATTAAGTACTCTTCTGGCCAACAAATTGGAAATATATAATTGAGCGTGTTTTTTTTCTTTTTGTACTATTTTTTTGCCGAAAAGATATCATGAGTTATCCTCTAAGGCTCTAACATTTAATCGGCGTTATACTCCAAGAAAACGATAAATTAACATTCAACTCGATCAATGAATAAATTTCGCCTCGCATGACATTCACTTCGTTAAAAAATGTAAAAAGACTAATGCTCATAACCTGTGCAAACTCCATTGAGATGACATATAAAGAAGAAATGAATTTATTGAAAAGAGTATCGCTTTCCACTAGCAACACTATTTAACATATGGCTCTGTAATGGTGTTTTAATCATTTTGGGTGTAGTAAACTCGAATTAGTTTGCAAAACCAAGTGTTTTCGAAACAGTTTGAGGTTTCTATTTCACCAACTAAACGGACGCACCCCGAGTGTCAAAAAAACAAAAAGAACCCTATGCTATAGACATCAATACGCCTTTCTTTCACTGGGTGAACAGGATTGATGAAAGCAGCGCAAATGACAATGCAGATCTAATGTGCATCAATCTTCATATGGAACTTCGAAAGAGCAGGATTCAGCAAATAACAAGATCGCCCAAACAATCACTATGGAAGGACAAGAAAGAATCAGGGAGCTCCTTCCCACTTGTCTATGCGGGAATGAAACTTCCATATCAAAGAATGAGGGGAGGACTGAACACTAGGTAACTGCAGTAAAAGGCTGGATACCATATTGAACATGTAAAACCGCGGAGACTAAGCGGCCAACTCTCACACGTTAACCTGATCTAGAGTAATATTTCTCTCGATTTGCCAGATGAAAGAATTATTCGATCAAAAGTGAAGTGATTTAAAAGCCATGAAGAAGGCTGCATGATTCACAATGCTTTCTTAACACTATCTATTTGGTCTATTTTTCTGGAGCAAATACCACTAAGCAGATGAAAGAAAGAAGCAAGCACACTTAAAAAGACCAGATTCTAGAGATGTCATAACCGAAAGCTGTGAAAGATGACAAATTGTTCTTTCTTTTTTCTGAAAAAGAAAGAGGTTTGTCTTGAATCGCAGAAAATGGTCAAAACTAATTCTTGAAAAATGTTTTACAGTCTTCATTCACATCCAAGGAACTCTTACAACGCAGCGCGGTCCAAGTCAGTGAAACTCATCCATCTACAGAGAAGGAAAAGATGCACTTATTTACAACGCAGCGAAGCTGAGTAAACAGTCCAGTCAGAGCCATCATCCAAGTTTGTGAAAATAGTGTAGTAAATGAAACCTTTGTAAACATGAAGATCTCAAAAAATACCAAGAAACCCAAAATCTAAGAATAAGCACTACTCAGCGATCGATACCGACAGGTAAACAGCTCTAAATTGCAATAACATCCATCACAATGCCCATGCCATTCTATGAAATGCAGAGGAAATAGTCATTAACCTGTAATTTTGCGCATCTCTTTGCACTAGGAAGCAGATGCACCATTTAGGAACCTAGTTGGGAAATGGAAGGACTACCGGTTATCCACATGTAATTAATATTGGTTTTCAAGAATTTTGAAAACAAACATATATGTTTTCCATCACCAAAGAAGCTTCACGTTGACAAAAGATAAAACAACTCAGACATATCAAATATTTGGTGACAAGAAACAATTGATTTGCCAAATTTTTCTACTACTATAATATACAGTGGTCCGCACAAAACCTCCCATCATTCAACACTGAAATTCCTTAAAAATAAACCCGAACAGTAACAGGAGCGAACAATAAAAATCAGTAACTGGAGCGAATGAATAACAAATTTTTGGTATGGAAAAGAAACTTGCTATGTGTAAGTCACATTACAGATGGTGCTTCTTACACATAAAATGCTGAAAGTAAAAGAACAATATTCAGAAAACTATTTTTTTTGTCCGAAGCTAATTCAGTCTACTTATTTTGCAGTCTCCTTCACAAACTTCACTTGGACATCTGATAATCATCATGCATCATCATTGCAATCTGAATGAATACCATGTATTAGCATGATCCCTATGTGATCAAATTACTGCATTCGAGAACAGCAAAAATTAAGCACCACTCAACATAGGGTCCAAAGAACTGATTATATAAGTTTCTTGCTTATTGAAGCATCACCACAAAAAGGACATGATTCCTAAACATGAGGGCAATTACCAAGTTCAAATGGGGAATCAAAAACAATGAATCTAAAATGTTTGTTTTTTTTTACATGGTAAAGACTAGTTTTCAAATTCTTGAAAGTCACTACAGGAAACATACTTAATTACGCTTTCATTTTGAAATATGACTCAAAGAAACTATTAACCCTGACTGTTTTAAGAAATACTCAACAAAGGCAGGGTATACAACTTAATGTCACAAAGATGCAGCTTATAGGAAGTAAAAAGCAGGATTCCGAAGCCCAAATGACACACAAAAGGGAAAAGATATGAAAAGGAATGAATTCCAGGAGATATGGTAATTTTGTCATTTCAATTCGGATCTTCCACCAAAGACCAAGATAGTTGTTATAAGTCCAACAAATTTCCATGCGACCTATAGTATGGCATCATTTCCTTAGTGGTCCAAACAACACAACTCTGCAAGCTATGGAGGAGATAAACTTAAGCTAAACGCAAGATGACTAATGGTAGCGCTTCAACTAGCTATATTATTCAAGAAATGGTACGGCGTGTGGTAAAATCAATGGGAAATCGCTACATTATTCAAGCATATAAGAGGTTAACTCACTTCACCTCCTTTTCAAGCTTCAACTAGCTAGTATTGTCCTGTCCTACAAGATAAAAAAGAGTGCGCACTCATTTATTTATGAAACCCAACAGCAGAAGGAAAAAAAAGCATTTGGAGCAGGGACTAATGAAATCAATCAGGTTGAATTAGACTATGTCAAGCAACTGTCAAAAGACACCTTAATCACCCACTTTGAAAATGAAAGTCATCAGAATCATATTCACCATATGCACAAATTCAAGTGCGAAGGAAAGGGTATGCATCGGGATAATCTAAAATCTTTATCTCATAACTACGGACTATCTTAATACTGACCTGTGACAAAAGGCTGCTATATCTCTATCTCATAAAATCTAGAAATCTGCACAACAAAGGAATTCGAAGGAGAACCCAGAAAAAAGGAAACAGTAAAGACACAGTTTTGGAAGAGAAGACAGTTATTTGAAGACAAGTTAATTTAGAAGAGAAGGCAGTTATTTAAGACAAGTTAAGCAAGCACATTCCCTATCTCCTTTCATATTCAATTCCACTACCCTAAATGAAAATCAAATTGGAATTGTCCAACTATATCACATGCCAAAATGAGAAAATTAAACAATCATTTAGATGCAGAGTTTAACGATTTTATTATCACTAGAAGCACTCTGAACTGATAACAATTGGAATATAATAGTCAAAAACAAGAAATTACCATCAATCGTCCAGCCATAGGTCCGAGGAGAAACGGCAAGCATAGAATTTAGCAACGCAGAAGCTGTTGCAGTGTGATACGGAAGCAGAGATTCGACGCTAACACAGCTCAATTCAACTGGAGATCTGCAAATTCAGAATAACATTTCCAAATCCATTTTCAATTCACCCCCAAAAACAATAAAGAAAAAAAATCAACGATTCAGTCACTGATAAACAATCAACCTGAAAATGCGAGGAGAGAGTGGCTTTTGCGTTGGCATCCGAAAGGGGGAAGCTGTCGTCGGCTTAACCCCGCCGGCGACTTTCGCCGCTGCAGATCGGGTGGATGTAGTTGCCGATCGAAGCATAGACCTTGCGACGAAGGAGGCCATTGTTAGGGTTCTGAGGATTTTGCTGGGGTTTAAGGAATTTTCTTTGGGAATTGGAGTTTTTAACCAGATTTTTTACCCCGACCTGTTTGCATTTCCTAGGCTTTTAAGTTTTAATGCTTGAACCTTGGCCTTTCATGAATTTCCAGTTTAGATCCCTAAACTTTTTTTTTATTTTTTTCACCTCACTAGTCATTTGAAATTTAAAAACTTTTTATATCTACGATTACATTTTCAATACAAATCTCTAATTTTTTTCATTTTAGTTTTTTTAACTAATACAGTACTCTAATAAGTTAGAGAATGGATTATTGTGTTGATGCCAGGGGCTGAGGTATATACACCCGAGGTGGGGCAATTACCTCAGCTGAATTATTTTTTTTTTTGCTAGTTAAACCCTGAAATTTTAGATTTTTTTTACAAAATATAGTTTTTACCCCACCTAAATTTAAGATAATAAGGGACAAGTGTATTAATTTACAAGTGTTGAAAATTTTGCCCCATCATATCTTAAGGGCTTGGCTCCGCCTGATTGATGCTGATAGGATTTAAAGATTCCAAGAATCCTCTTATCACACACTAGCATAACATAAAATGAGCAAAGCTTTGAAACTTACATCCTACGTTTAGAGTGAAGTATGCCAAAAATAAAAAAGCTAGAAACTTTCAAAAAGCAGTCTCTCTACTTGTTAACAATACCTAACACTGTCTTAAAGTAAGTTCCCCAAATGAATAGTTCGTACAGAGTATTGCATTCACATGGTAAATGAAAGCGACTATAGGCACGCATACTGGGAGAAGCAGCGATTCTTAACAGATACTGCTGAGTTTCAGAGTCATGCAAACCAGTTCGAATTCAACATTCTTGACTACTGAACCAACGGCAAAATGAAGGAATCAGAAAGGAATTCTACGGATTTTCCATGCCCTTAAACCACAAAAGCTCAAGCTAGGAAAATCTTGTTGCAGTACATTTATCATTGAAAATCTACAGTTGATCGCTTATCATTTTCAAAAATAAGCTACCAAACCTCCAGCTATCAAAATATTGTTGCAGTCCACTCACGACCTACAGTTCAACCGGCTCAGCATCTTGAAATACAATGAAACACCAGAAGACTTGAGAAGCTTGATAACAAACATTCCAGCCTGATGTTTGATACCCTCAAATCACAAAAGCTCCAGCTAGGCAAATATTGTTGCTGTCCATTTAACATGAAACCTGCCATCGATCTGATCATAGATCATTTGCAGAAATAAACTACAAAACCTCCACATAGGCAAATTTTGTTCCACCCACCAAACCTACAATTCAAGCTGCTCAACATCTTGAGACGCAACAAACACCAATTTCGCTAAGAAATAAATATCCTGTTACTATAGATGGTAGACCGACAGAACATAATCTGACTATGATCTGAATTCTCTTGAACAATTCACTCATCTCTTCCCATCCCAGTTTAAAATAAAGCCAAAAAAAAAAAAAAAAAGAGAGTGAATGGCGTTGATAAAGAGTAGAGACAGTGAAGTTGATCTTGCTCATGCTGTAATTTGACTAAAAGAGCTCACAGAGTCGTCCAATCTGAATTTTCCACCATAAACTTTGGAGAAGCTTTGAACAGGATCTCTTCCCTATTGACTAAGCTCTTGCATAATCTTTTGAAGTGCCTCATTCGGAATAGGAATGTACAAGCAATCTTGGCCATCAGAATCTCGTCTCATCTTGACTAACTCATGATCTTTAAATTCTGTCAGATGAGAATTCAATGTCACTTGGCTACTCACCAAGAACCGCTCTCGACATATAGCATACAAGTTATTGGTTGGCATCCCTGCAGATGAAAAGTAACAATAATCACCGTATTGAACTTTGTATCCGGCTGTTGAAAAATGCAAGAAACGGTAAAGGACCTTGTACCTTCTTCATCAGGATGAGCAAGTTGATGTTCCGCAAGAACTCTGAATACGCTCTGAGCATTTGGTGTCAAGCTCTGCAGAACAATTGAAGCTGTCTTGACACTTTGCGAACTACTGCCCTGAGCAAGAATGAGAGGCATAAATGTCGCTTCCACTTTGTATGGTGCAAAGGTAGGGACATGGTGCCAATACCAGTTGAACTGGGTGTGAACCATCTTCTTATCCCACACTAGCATAACAATTATTCAAAGATGTGAATCACTCCACTAAGCCAAATAGCCGAAAGTGTTCAAGAAACATAAAGTCCTTTGGGTTACAGTAACTAATGTTCAAGATAAATCCGCTATATAAATAGTTCTTACAGAGTAGGGCATTCACTTGGTCAATGGAAGCAACGATGCGTATATTGGGACAAGCAGCAAGTCTTGAAAGATATTGCTGAGTTTCAGGGTCACGCAAACCAGGTCCAGCAATGTTGTGGACAACAACACAGACAAAACAATCATCATCCTCTATGTGTGATGTATTCAGAAAAGCTATCAAATCATCCATGGATCGAGTATTGAATGGTTGCTGATGTTTACACAAAGTTCCAGAACTAGTGTTCGTTTGGGTTTTAACAAGATCCCACATGAGTTCGGCCAAGGTTATGAGAACCTACAAAGTTTAAAAACCATATTCTCGTCATGTGACAGGAAAACGAAAATGTCTCCTTCTAGTAGCAGTAACATAATGAAAGAAACAAGATGAAAGTTCAATATTTTTCCCACAAAACCTTAAACAACAAAAGTCTCGGCTTGGAAATTTTGCCCGCAGTGCATTCAACATTTAAACTACAGTATCTCCAGCCATCAATTCAACATTTTAGAATACATTGAACAAAGCCACTGACACTAGCATCTGAGGTTCAAATTGGTAGTATATGAATTAGTAATTTACTCATTAGAGGCCACTTCCAAATGACCAATTTTTTCTTGTTCAGATGAAAAGCTGACAATGAAGTCTCAGTTCATTCAATGTCAATGAATCAGATTTACAAATCAAAGAAGAACAGCACAGCCAAAAAGTAGAAATTGAAAAAAAAAAAAAAAACTAATGATATACATATCTGGAATCCACGAGTCTTTAATCCAATCAACAAATAATCAAATTAACCAAAGGTACCTGCTTTAGATTTATGGACTGGAGATAACCATTGATGACGATCACAGAATACTCGGCTAGTGCAGAGGAAGCAAAATCTTCAAGCAATGTCCTCTTTGACCCGAACCCATACATCAAAAGTCCGAAACCACACCTACCATCACATAATCAAAGTCAAATGCTGGAATTTTACATCATCACATCAATAAAACAAAAAACCCAGCGCTTTAATAGTTAAAAAAATACCTTAATTCAAGAACCCATTCTTGATATAAGCTCTTGTAGCTTTTAATCAAATCGTCGATTTCTTGTTCATGTTTCTGCTCAATTTTGGCAACCGCATCTCTGAGCTCCTGCCATTTCCCGTCATGAAAATAACCGAATAAACTAAAACCCTCTTTCCATAATCACCAAATAAATTAAATGACGAAAGGGAAAACAGCAAGAAAAGCTTGCGTTCCAGATATTTAACCTGTTCGTCGACGAGGTCAATATCAGAGAGCTTATGAGCAGACTTTTTGCCGGGATTGCCAATTTCCTTTGACAGGAAATAGTTTCTGGAGAACCCAAATTCATCTTCTTCAATTTCGTTGGGCTCCATTTCGGTATTGTCGGAGGAATCTCTGTTGACGAAAGAGGGACACTGGCGCCGGAATGAATTTGGGAATTTTCCTTTCCCGCGATATTTTTCAGATTATATATTATGCTGCTGGGAGTGGGCTTTTGTAAACTTCCTGGATTTATATTGGGCGTGGGCGATATGCTGGGTTGGGCTTATATTGACAATTTTTGTTTTTAATTCTTTTTTCCCTTTTTTTGTTCCAACTTTTTTCCCCATCTTTTCTTTTGTTCTAACAATTTTCAAGCATCACTTCCATATGAAGTCGCCGATGCCTTAGCGAAATTTGGCGTCTCTTATCCAATTGGGAAGTATATTTTGTCATCTCCGCCCGCTAAAGTTAGGGAGAAGTTAGTTCAGGATCGAGATTCATCATCCCTTCCTTCTTGGGATGTTTTGTAAATTGAGTCACTGACTTTATATATATATATATATATATATATATATATATATATATATATATATATATATATATATATATAAAAGCATCACTCATGATGTGATTATTGTTTAGGTTTGTGGAGGCCCGTTTCTAGTGATTGAAATACAAGTTGAAAGAAGAAAATACAAGTTTTTAATAAATCCTGCAAAACAATATGAAACTGAAATTTAATTGACCCAATGCTGTATAGCGTGTATACTAGTCGCTAGTGCTAGAGATCATTAATAATAGTGAATCTAACATGAGTACATGATACGATCCAACGTTTCATTATCAAAAGAAAATTTACAATTCGTAAAACAGCAAAGAAATTTATCATTCGTAGATAGATAAAATAAGTAAAAAAAAAAAAAATTAATTCGCAATGTATGATTCAATATGAAAAGAGTATAAAATACATGTATTTACCGGTAAGATTATTGATTTTCCTAGATCACAGACTCTTTCCTTGTAAGAGAATTAAAAAAGAAAAATTGAAAAATGTTACTCCTTCCGTCCCATAATTATTGTCCAGTTTCAGTAAAATGAAAGATTTTATTTTTTGTCAAACTTAACAATATTTTACCTTAAACAACCAGATATACCCCTACATAAGTAATTGTTTAACCACAAAGATTTTATGGATAATGTTTTTTATTAAGGGCAAATGTATAACTTAATCCATAAAAAGTCAAATTGGACAATAATTTTGGGACAAAATTTTTTAGACAAAGTGGACAATAATTATGGTACGGAGGGAGTATATGATCATCACAATGAATATAACGCAAAAAAAACACCAATTGATTGTAATTGAGATTGTTATATTAAAAAAATTGAAAACATGAACGAAAGATCAACGTCTGCTGGTTCGGTAGAATCCCCTCCTTGTCCTAAATTTTGGTTTTGCCGCCGTTGGTGGTGGCATCCGAATTTTCCGCCTTCTGGACTTGGAATGAGATCGTCTGGTCTCACCGGTTTCGTAGCTTTCGTCGGTTTCTAGAATATCACCAGCTTCAGTTAATTCAAAACGTTCACTCCCGGAGGTTATGAAAACTTGTATATAACTAGATTCGTGATGGATTCATCATCCTACAGCGACAGGCAGGATGTCATCAGATGTTTGTCAAGCACATTGTGGATGTACAGTGTACTCTTCGCTGGAGGATAAACCAAAATCCGGAGGATTGTAAATTCCCAATTCTTCATCCACTTCAATGCATGCGTATTGCTGAATAGAATGTCACCTCCTGTGTTGGGTTCAACCGTTCAAGCCTTGAAGGAGTCCATCTGTTAGCAGCATCATTTCGATATGAGCAACTTTCCCTTTGGTATGATCAGGGAGAATGGTCCAATTCCCGATTCACTAGTCAAAGAGACAGACGCCATCTGAGTACCTAGCATAAGAATGAGTGGACAGCCACGTCAAGAAAATCATTCTGACTGTTCAAGACAACAAATTAAATAAGGAACTGTTCACAATTCAAACTCTCTTTAAGAACTAAAAACAGTCAGCTACGTTTAGAATATCTTATAGGAAGCATGGAAGTTATCATAGAGCACCGTCATATTCCAAAATCTAATCATGGAAGGTTTTAGTTGGAGTTGAACCAGTATAAACTATGTACCAGAGTGCCCTACAGTCAAGTTTGTCTTCATACATATTCTTTGAAACCCAAATAGGAAACAAATATAATCAAGGTGACTGAATATACCCTAATCAAATAATCTAGTAAAAGTGAATCATCAAAAAATAATGATAATATTAACCCTGTTTTTGGTTGAAACAATTGGGGTGAACGCAAATGCAACTTTTTAAGAAGAAATATAGGTTACTATTTTTGCATATTTATGAAACTTTGTCAGCACACTAGAAATCAAATCCACGGTGTGCAAAGAAAGGGGTCAAGCAAACTGGCAAACTGAAACAAATCTATCATTCATCGGTTCTTCAATGAATGCCTCACCGATGAAGCTCAATAACATAAGACATTGCCAGGGAATATGATTACTAATTAACCAACAAACTCAGTTCTTACAAGTGCACACCGACGAAATACCAAACAGTAAAACAGTATTTTTCCCAAACAAGATTTTCTACAAGCTCTTAAACATGTTGCCACCGTTGGCCCCTGTTATTATTTCAACAAATGAACCCCCAGCCACACACGCAGACAGAAGCGGAAAAAGGAGGACGAAGAGGTTTCATGACATACTCAGTTCAGAAGCAGGTAAAGAGTGCATTGATAATCCTGAAATTCACATTTCCACTCTATGGCCAAATTAGATATATCCTTGGCAACTAGCCCGACCTTAGTTCTTTATAAACCTGCAGTTGCACAAATTTCAACATGAGCACTCAACTGGATAGTAAAACACACCTTGGGAGACTAACCAAAAAGGGTACAATGGAAACATACCAAAGGTGCGAACAGTTTTCATCAAAACTTCAAGTAACTAAATCCACCATGGGTGCTGGAATTAGATGCTAAAAGAGAGAAACCCTTATCTGTTATCCTTCACCCTTCTTGTTATTTTCTATCTTTTAGCAAATCTAATAACTGATTACATTAATCCGCACCACCTGGACAAATTCCTCATATTGCTCAAAATTCAGGAACTCTATTAGACTATAAGCTTCATAGTGACTTAGAAAATAAGTTCTGCTGCTGACAGGGGAACAAAAGCAGAGAGAGCACAATTTCAAGCTCATATAGGTCAAATAAGTTTACTAAGAACAAAGTTTGTGAAGGAAAAAATTCCAACTGAACAACTACATAACTGAACCAAGAAAATTATCAGGTAATCCAAGTCGATATTAACTTCAACACAGAACAGAGATAATAGTATGAGCAAGAAAACAAGCAACACTTGACATTTGTCTTTTCAATAGCATGAATTGCAAGTTAACATTCAAGTCTCAAATCCTCCTTAATCTGTAGCAGCCAATTCCAATATTGCTTTCCACAGATTTTACCCAGAAAATAAAAAAATAAAAGAAATTACTGAGTTGTTGATTTGCTGACCAGGAATTGTAATTGTTATCATAGGTTATAAGTAAATACCATTGGGAATAATTCACCATGCAAATCCCAAAATTTTGTCAATTTTGCCTTTAAAGTAAGTTGTGCATGGTGCTACATGATGCAAAAAGAGTTAATTTCAAATGCCTTTAGTGATTCTTACTTCATAAAAGCAATAAAAAAGTAAGTTTTACCTTTCTTCCATCACGTGAATACACATTTTAATCAGTACCATTGCTCCAACACCTTTCAACAAATGACTGCAAATTGACTTCAATATCAACTACTCTCTAATCTTTAGTTTTGGTAAATGCATCACCAGGGCCACGTTAATAATACAAAATCTTAGCCAACCGGATATTTTTCTGAAATTTCTTGGCTTCAGCTAGAGATCCTGAATAGCGAAGACCGCGCATAACAGCCTTCTTATCAGACCTAAGGATTTGAGCTCCCTTCGTAACACAAGAATGGAGTAGCTTAGCAGCTAGTTTATACCTCTCAGCTCTGCAAAGTCCACGAACGATGGAGGAATAAGTAAAAGCATCTTTTACTTTCATGGACTCAAAGACCTGCAATGCATGATCAATGTGACCATGTTTACACACTCCATCAATAAAAGAATTCATAGCAACCAAATTAGTCTCTAAACCCAACATTTTCATGTTTTTCAAATATTTCTGTGCCAACTTTATACAACCTACTTTGCACAGCCCATCAATCAAAATAGAGTGTGTATAATCGTCACATTGCAACCCCCTCTCTTCTGCCTCACCCAACAACTTCAAGGCATCTTCAAACTTTCCTTCTTTGCAATAAATATTAACCAGGGTATTGAAACATACCATGTCTAGATCAATGCCAACTTTGAACATATTCCCAATGCATTCATTAGCCTCCTTTACTTTTCCTCCTTTAAGTAAAGCGCCAGTTACTGTGCAGTAAGCGAAACCATCAAAAGTATATCCTTTCTTCTGCATCTCTGAGAAAATCTCAAGTCCTTCTTCGAGCATCCCATTCTTGAAGCAAGATTTCATCACTGAGGTATAAGTAATAGCATTTGGACTTTGGCCGGCTTCTAGCATTTCTTTCAGAAGCCCTCTAGCTCTTCTATGTTTTCTTGACTTGCTTAGCCCGTCAATGAGAATGTTATAGGTAACTACACCAGGAGTGAACCCATTACGTTGCAGAGTCCTAAGTAGCCTGAGGGCATTATCCACATAACCATTCTTGCAAAGCCCATTGATCATAATGTTATATGTTCCTGGAGAAGGGGTAATCTCCTTCAAAAATATATCCTTAAAGACATTGTAAGCCTCATCTGGTTTTCCTGACTTGAGAAAGCAATGCATCAGTATATTATAACTACGAATATCAGGAAAAATACCCTCTTCAAGCATTTCTTCAAATAAATCTAGGCATCGGGACACCAATCTGCTTCTACATGCACTTGATAACAAAGTGTTGTATGTAATAATATCTGGATGAATACCAGCTTCCTTCATTCTACCAATAATTGAATAACCAGTATCAATGCCAAGTAGACGGCAGTAACCAGCAATCAGAGTGTTGTAAGTAACCACATCTGGAAGTATACCTAATTTTATACCATCAATTAACACTAATTCCGCTTTCTTCAACTGTTTTACTCTACAAAGTGAAACAAGACATATGTTTAATGACTTGGTCGAGAATATCTTCCACATTCTCTGTATCTCATCCACAAAATCACCCGAAAACCTGCAACCAACATTTTAGCACTGATATTCAGAAAAGTGGAGGAAAGGGGAAAGAGAAAGCATGAAGTCTACAAATACATAACAACAATTAAATAACAACTGACAAAGTTAAACAAAAGCTGCAATCTTGAACATGTGAAATACTCAGAGCTCTATTTTCATATACTTCAATAGCAGAAGCTCAATAGTCAATAGAGAAAATGATGGATACTTTTAATGCAAGATAAGTTTGCACTTGAATACAAGTAACAAAGGTATCATGAAGTTCTGCTGAAGTAAGCAAATTAAATCGCATAATCAGGCTGACAGGAAAAGAGAACGGAAAAGAAAAGACTAATCCCATAATTGACAGAGCCACTTAGCAAGTTGTCATAATCAAACATTCAGGGTCTAGTAAGAGAAGCTTGAAAGTGAACTTGCACCATATTTTTGAGTTAAGGATACTGACTGGATTCGGATTATTGAGTTTTCGGCCTAACTGATTATTTATAATCCACAACATAGCATGATCCTTTGAGCTGTAGTTACTTGAATCAGAGTATACTAAAACGTTAATCAGCTAACTTATCGTAAACTGTCAGAATTCATTTGTACAATCATATACACACATTGTCTACCCTAATTGCTGTTGGTAATTAAGCAGGGAGATCTGGAAAAATGGACTCACAAAAGAACTCTCCAGAGACTCCATCAGCAAAAACTAGGGAAACGAATAATGCATCGAGTGAAGAAACTCTTCAAATGTTTGCTACTTTACCAGTAACTAAGCAGGGAGGTCTAGTTGAAATAATAAAGTTCTATCTGTTAGTTGCTGAAACCAAAGCCAAATATAGGAGAAATATCCACTGTTGTTTCATGGCTGAAGTCTAGAAATAGAAGAGAAATGAAAGGAACTTCCTATCACGTAACATATGTGCAATTCTACTACCCCTGAATTTATGTGCAGTAATTTCGACTCATTCAAACTCAAAACAGAATGGTATCATAAACTCGCAGCATTTCCACACGAATATTCCTTGAAACAAGGAAAGACTTACCAAGATAAGCACTATATTAGAAAAGCCGTATAATTTGTGTCGTATCAGGTTCTGGTCGAGCCTGTAGTCCTCTTGTTCCATTGCCAAAGCAATTTAAGACGCTTTGAAGGTCCTAAATTCATTACCATTTAGGTACCCAAAACCAGCTATTGGCTGCATGTTAAATCACAAGGATTCAGGATAATAGAGCGGCACCAACAAGGAGGGAAACACACACACACAATTACAGTAATATCTAATTGATTTCAGAGGATTTGTATATCATAATGACAATCTCCACCCAATTTGCAAATATTTCCAGAATTTATGCCATAACAATGGCGAGCCTCTCAAAACCATCCAACGATATAACAATGAACTTCATCAAACCTCAATTTAAAATCATTATCCTTCCGCCTTTGCTTAAGGTTTGCAGCACCTGTTCAACCTTTACCTCTCCTAATGGAAGATATCCACTTTCTACTTGGAACACACCGGTGAGCCTAAGGCCGACTTGGATGAGAAAACCCTTGGTTCACTCTCTGACAAACTATACAGAACTTGATAACCTTGCTACTGAAACCAACTTTTGCTCACTGATTTTGATCCATCAATTCATAAGGTTCTTTGAAAAAAAGGAACAACAGAAACTACATCATCAAAAATGTTTTTCTTTCTCAAAATTGGTTAGCTAATAGAACACAAAACTGTACAGCAATAATGAAAACTTCACCTAAGAAAAAAATCTACATGTCTTCAGCTAGATACAACCACAAACGGTTCAAGACAGATTGTGATCAATATGGAAAAAGTGCTTTGATCTTCCTGCATAAGATGACCGCCCTATGACCTATAAAACTATTCATCTTAGCAAAAGCACATAGGCCAAACTTTGAAGACTGTCAAGTGAAAGTTACTCATTCCATTATCATATCAACATGCATTACTTGAAGACGCATTAGGCATAATCTCATTGAATTCTTCATCTACATTTGTGAACACTTGATGGGTGCAATATGTCCCAAAAATATTTGCACACGTAAAAGATTTCTGTCTTTTAGTTATTTGCAATATGTCCCTAATGTATTCGCATATAGGTTATTCCAAATTTATTATCATTGAATGATATCATTAAATTTCCAAACACATGAGACATACCAAAAATATAAAGTTTCTAAGATGCAAAAAGAAATGACTCACCGTGACAGACATAAGAAAGGAGGGAACTTTGCCGGAAAACGCAATTGAGCCAACCCCAGAAGACTCCGTGACTTCTATTCGTACCAGTTGTTTTGAGTCCACCAATGTTCTTTGAGTCCAACAATCAAACAGTTCGGATGCAACTTAAAAATAAACAAGATTTATCAGTAAAACCACCCCACGAGGCTCACTTAGAGTTTTAACGCACAAAACTTATAGATTCCAAGGGAATTCCAGCCAAACCAAATCAGAGTTAGGAAACTCAAGAGTTGAATTACCAATACTTTGAATACACGCAACAAGCATCAGAAATTTTCGAAATAGCTGAACAACTGGAATCTTAACACAACGATTCGCAACTATAAAACTCCAATTATGCAGCAGAATTTTGAATTTTAGAAAAATTCATCTGAAATTCTCCTTATTCCGGACTCAACCAATCGAAACATAATTTAAACTTATCGAAAACTGCTTCAGAAAGAGAAAGAGAGGCGAAAGAGGGAAAAGAGAAGGAAGAATAGAAGTGACCGGATGAAAAGGTAAAAAAAAAAGTCACGATAGAAATATAACCGAATAAGAAAACAACACGTGTCATTAGGGAACCTGCAAACGGTACAGAAACTGGCAACTCCCGGTGGATGGACCCATCTTTTCCCTCCATATAAAGATAATTATAATTATTATAAATCCCATTCAAGAAGTTCTTTTGGTCTCTCCAAAATCAAATGCCCTTCAAAAGCTGGTAGATGGGTTTTCTCAAACGCTTAAACAGATTATTTCATGGAGCCAACAGATTTAGAAATCTGCAAATGGAGGATTCCAAGTCTCTAAGATCAAAGCTTTTCAACATGTTCAACAAAAAGGCGCCACCTTTTTCAGATTTCACCAGCATTTGCAGCCACAAGAAGAAATTATTTAGCAATGGAGTGAATCAATGGAGGTTCAGGTTTGCCAATTCCTTCAATCATGTCAGACCCACTACTCGAAGGACTCCAAAGAGCAAAGTAAGTAGCTTTAGCTTGTTTTCTTCTCTCTCGTTGCACAGAAAATTAAACAAGGCTAACAAATACTCCAAGAAAGCTTTGCTATTGCATCCTGGTGGTGTTGTTGGGAGGAGATTTTCCAGGGGCGTAGCAGGAGGGTTTAAGAAATATGTTAATCTGGGACGTATTAAAAAAGTAATTTTGGGTTCTTCATTGCACAAAAAATTATTAAAGAAGGCTATGAAATATTCCAAGAAAGCTTTGTTATTGCATCCTGTTGGTGTTGTTGGGAGGAGATTTCCCAGGGGTGTAGCAAGAGGGTTTAAGAAATATGTTGATTTTGGCCGTATTGAAAGAGTAATTTTGGGTTCTTCGGCTTCTTCTTTCTACATTTGGCTTAAAAAACACGAATTCTTAGCCTACACTGTCTGTCTTGGGGTTTTATGTGCATTTAAATTCGGAAGTTTGCAATGGGTACCAGTAACAGAGAGGATGCGTATAGCTCTATCATCGGATAAAAATCGATAATATGCTTGGCGCCTTAATTTGGGAGGAAAAGGCACGACAAAATGTTGGCCAAATCCTCAGCCCAGAAAGTGCGGAAAGCATTCGTGTGGTGCAAATTTTGAGAGAGATTTTGCAGGCAATGCATCGATCTTTGGGGCTCAAGAACGATTTCGAAGTGTCAGTGTATGTGCCTAGAAAAGAGTTACAGAGGCCAACAGTAGCTAGAGGTAAGGTTGGTGGTTTTGCTAACGTTTGATGATTTGTTGGAATTTCTTAAGTTATAGAGTACCACTCATCGCATCCTAACAAGAGGATTGGAAAAAGGCCTCAAAAGGTATGGAAGTTTGGGATCAAATATGGCACAAAACATTTTGAAGGATTAAATTGGGAAGTGATGGTGATTGACAATGATAGAGAGATTGCTGCTTATCTTCCATATGGAAGGATCATGATTTCCTCTAAGTATCTTCGGAATGTAGGTTTAACAGATGCAGAATTGGCAACCGTCCTCGCTCATGAGGTACTAAACATGTTCCAACCTTTCCTTTTGGCAACCACTAGTGACTAAGTATGCTTGATTTTGTAAGACCTTTTTTTCTTTCTGTGGGCTTGATGATCCTATATCAGGTTGCGCATGGATTGGCTCAGCATAATTCGGGACAAGTAGTTTTGATTGCAGCTATGCTATGTCTGGCTCTAGTTTTGACTGCGCATGGATTGGCTCAGCATAATTCGGAACGACTAGTTTTGATTGCAGCTATGCTATGTCTGGCTCTAGTTCTACCTGTTGGATCAGTTAAACTCATTTCTCAAATTATCAATGCCATCGTCGCCTTCATTTCCAGGAGGTAAATCTGTAGTTTATGGATATCTCTTCATTTCTGTTTCTCAACCAATAACAAGGTAGACAAACCAATATAAGTTTTCTCAGTCTCCAATTTCATCCATACATCTCCTCCTTTACAAACATACAATGTGTTAGCCTATTAGTTGATTGATTACCACAGATTTAGCTAGTATGAATAAATTACACAATTCACTCATTTCCTTCTTTTAGGAGGGAAATGGAAGCTGACCAGAGAGGAATGATGCTGATGGCTACGGCTGGCTATCACCCTCGTCGTGCGGTAGGTTTATTCGAGAGGTATGGTGGTAGAGAGAGCAATTTAATGTCAACTCATCCTTCCGGAAAGGAAAGGGCCAACAACCTAAGAAATGTTAAACTGGTGAGGAAAGCTGAGCTTGCATATGATCAGGCACGAGCAATTCAGCAAGTCAAAGAGCAAACCAGATATCTATCAGTTTACAAGAGATTATTAATGGCTTTTAGTGGTTACTGGCGAGACAGAAAATCAGATTAATTTTTTGGTTTGTTATTTTTGTGCCTACAATGCATGAATCAGTTTGTGCACCAAAAATCTAAGCAATGGCTAAGGTTCAGTCAACAAACATTGTTATGTTAAAAAAAACAACATTAGCTTGTTTGCATACATTGGTGCTGTTTTGACGAAAGTGATCTCCACACCAATGATCAAGCCATTAATGGTTTGAGGTTTCGTGCAACCGAACAACTTAGACTTCCGATATAAAGACAGATAGAAAATGTATGAAGTCATAGATTACCTTTTTTATAGACGTCTTCTTCTGGAATTTATGTCTGAGATCCTCCAAATAAAAAGAGGGGGGAAGAAAAACAGATTAAGCATTCAAATCAGAGGTAAAAGGTACGGAACAGATGGAGCATTTTAACAGAATGGACTAACATCATTGAACAAGATAGTACTGCAGAGTTGACAAACTCAGAAAAAGAGGCGTAAAATCTACCTAATGAGCATTTAGATTTGCACGAAACAATATTAATTTGCGCTGGCACCCTGGCTTCCAAGCATTCAGCTCTCTCAACTATACCAATGGATGCTGAGGGTCTATACATGAGTAAGCCTAAGTGATGAGTCATTTACCAGAAGATGAACAGATGAATGGCTGCAGTATCAGAACAGTCTACATCGGTAGGACTAGATGGGACGCTAAGATCAACATTCAGTATCCTTAAGACTTCGAAATGGTTACACGATGCTAGCTTAACAGTTTCAGAAAGCTCAAAGTACTAGGCTAAGGAAGTTGCCTCATGATCAAATCGCAAGTTTTCAAGCTATTCATAGCAATATGGCGATTCTTGAACAAAGAAACGTACTACATATTGAAGCAAGAAATCAAAAAGTGAACTAAAAAGCCGTGATTTAGCTCATAATCCAAGACTTGATTCAATAAAGAAAATACAAAACCGAAATACAGACTTCCAACCATGAGTTCATAATCTCGTAAGCGTTAAAAGAAGCCAATTCTAGTAGAAAACTAAAAAGCGTTAAATTAGCCCATCCTTAACACATTCCAGAAAAACTCAAACACGAATTTTGGCAACAAATAAGCCTTAAAAATAACCCAATTCATTATAATGAAAAGCATTCCAAACATTCAAAACCATACGAAACTAAATCAAACCTGGAAAACGAGTGAATGGGTAAGGGTAGTTACCAAAGAGACCAAACAATACCTATTTCAAACTTCAGTTCAATGAAGCAAGAAGTTACAATTTTGATTACTCCGAGGATGGGTGTTGATAATTTATACCTTGAATTCACAAGCGAGATAAGATGCGGCCGAATTTTTCCTTTGCTCACGGGTTCGCCCAGGCGGCGGTGGAGGGGGCGGTGGTTGAATTGGTTGTCCGGTGGGTTTCTGGCGGGTTATAGTTTGGAGTTGGGAGGGAAGTATTTAAAACTGGAGAACCGGAAAGAAGGCCAAAAGCCCATAATTCTGATACAAGAGATTTGACTTTAGCCCACGTAAATCTTTTCTGAAAGGCCCGTTACTTGGCTGTGGGCCTCTCTGAACAACCCATCCACATATTTTCATAAGTTTTTATTTTTATTTTTTAACCAAAGTGGTTGTAGTGGAGTAGAAGGGACTTCTCCACCCTTTATCATAGGTCGAGAGTTCAAACCTCGCCATTGGCATGGAGCAACCTTAAATACTTTGGCAAGCTGTATCACCCATCGAGGTGCCTATAATACAAACCTCGCCATGGGCATGGAGTAACCTTAAATACTTTGGCCAGCTGTATCACCCATCGAGGTGCCTATAATTCAGCGAGGGGAATTAGTGCTGACGACACTGTTGCCAACGGTGGACACCCTGCAAATATGTAAAAAATAAATAAAAAAAAAAGTTTTGATTTTTGAATAAAACATTTTGTCAGTATAAAATTAAGGTTAAAAATAAATTAATGCAAAGAGAAAAATTCGGATATATATAGTAACAATGTCATAAACAGATTATATAAAGAATATGCGACTTTATATGGATTTACACTTGGTAACAATACCAAAAAGATTTTTTTTTAATCTAATTCAAAATTAACAACAATTAATAATATTTTGACTTTTAAACATACCATTAAAACAGAATATAGTTTTACTGGATTGGCTACTAAAGCTTATATGGGTTTGTTCCCATAATTCTTTTTCTTATATTCTTCTCTAATAACAATCATGTAGCATAGGCAAGTGATTTTTGGATACATGGAAAACGTACCAGCTTTTTGGATACAGTCTGCACATTACAAATACAAAGGCGACTACTTACCACTTGATGAAATGATTACATAGAAAAACCTTGGAAAAAACTGGCTACGGTTCAAATTTTACAGAGCACTTGAAAGTATATTCTGCAAAAATTATAATGTAGAGCTTCTAGGTACACGCGTCTAAAAATAAAGAAGGTACTAATATTTACATCAATGTGTTACGGGCTAACTATTTTATAAATTAAAACCGTGCGGCACTAGTGAAGAATGCTAGCTCAGTTTCACCTTTAAAACTCTCCAAATTTTTGAAAAGAATTAAGTTGGAAAGTTGAATGTTTAAAGAAAAGGAGGAGGAAAGAATGAAGACTCAAAGAGAGGTTGAGAGAACTTGTGAACTAGAATTCAATACCTTGAATTCTTCATGATTTACAATATGGGGCTTGGAGGTATTTATAGTTGGTAACCCCAAGCCCTTAAAGTTCTAGAAAATTCTACATAAAGTATTAAAAATCATACATTTAGAGAATTCCTACAACTTCCTCCACTATTCTATAATGTTCTAGAAATCCCTACAATACTCTAGACAATACTATATGATTCTACTCCTATTCTCTAATATTCTACAAACTTCTAGATAATTTTAGGACATTCTAGAAGTTTCCGGATATTGGACTTGACCCAAAACTTCCAAATGGGCCCAAGTCCACCAAAGTTATTGGGCCAAATTTACTTAATATTTGGGCCGTGTCACTCTCCCCCACCTGAATGGGGCATCGTCCCTGATGCCCTGTGTCCCAACTTATCATCTTCACGGAAGTTTTGAGCTATGGCGGCGAGTTTACTACGAGATGGCCAGTCACGAACCAAGTGAGACCCTTCACATAGAAAGCAACCTTCAAGTTTTTTGGTTTTCTCTACTTTTAACTTCTCTTTGGAGGCGATTTTTGCTCCTTCAAATGATTTCGGATAAGATGTCGTGTTGTTTTCTCCACTTGTGTCATTGAAACATTTTTTACCCGTGGCTTTATTGTAATTCTTATTTTCAAACTCCACAAAAGATTCTGCGGCTCGTATAGCTTGTTGAATATCTCGAACATCCCTCCGCTATAGCTCTGCCGTCCATAAGCGTAAAGAAAGTTTCTTTAAGCGAGAGATCCGGAATTTCAAGCATAAAGTCAGAGAATTCTTGCAGATATTCCCTTATGTGGCCCTCCTTATGGTGTAAGAGACGAAGTTTGGCTCGAGCGTCAACTTCAGCATCAGTTGGGAGAAATTGTTTCTTAAATTCGTCCTTAAATCCTTCCCAATTTGAGAAAACTGGTGCTTCTTGGCCTAGTGGTTTCATCATACGTTTCCACCAAGATAGAACACTATCTTTTGAATAACAAGAGGCTTGATAGAGTCTTATCGAATCGTTCGTCAAGCCCACAGCGCCAAAGTATCTTTCAAGTCCGTAGAGAAAATTCTCTACATCTCTTGCCTTGCGGCTACCAGCATAAACATCTGGTTTTGGTGCATCGACCATTGGAGCTGGCCCTCCAACTCTGATCATCCCTTGAGCACATAGAGCATCCACTCGTACCTTAAGTTGCTCCGTTTGTGCTCGATAAGTCTCAAACTCAGCCCTGAGTTTGAGCACATCACCTTGGAGCGTAGTGACCTTGGCTGCATTCTCCTCGCAAGCCTTAGTGACCCTCTCAAATACCTTGTTGAGTGCCCCAAGTATCTCTTCACGCATTTGTTGCATGATCTCTTGCAACTCACCCTTGAATTGCTCCATGCATTCCTAAGAGATAACTTCCACCGTGGAAGCATGCTCTTCCCAACGATCACAATAGTCGGCCACGACCAACTCTACCTTGGCAAGCCGTTTCTCAAAGTCGACCATCGGCTCACGAGCAACGGACTTCTCCTTATGGGTTCCCTTCGAGAATAAGTACTCTCTGGCTCACGAGAAACGTGATCACCACCCTCAACCTCCACACCTTGAACAACCTCCAATGGACTAGACATGATGCACAAAATTTAATAACGAGCGGAAGCGCATGTATCGAGCCGAAGCTCTAATACCAGCTGTTACGGGCTAACTATTTTATAAGTTAAAACCGTGCGTCACTAGTACTCTAGACCCCTAATGAAGAATGCTAGCTCAGTCTCACCCTTAAAACTCTCCAAATTCTTAAAAAGAATTAAGTTAGAACGTTGAAGGTTTAAAGAAAAGGAGGAGGAAAGAATGAGGACTCAAAGAGAGGTTGAGAGAACTTGTGAACTAGAATTCCACACCTTGAATTCTTCATGGTTTACAATATGGGGCTTGGAGGTATTTATAGTTGGCAACCCCAAGCCCTTAAAGTTCTAGAAAATTCTACATAAAGTGTTAAAAATCATAAATCTAGAGAATTCCTACAACTTCCTCCACTATTCTATAATTTTTTAGAAATCACCACAACATTCTAGACAATACTACATGATTCTACTCATATTCTCTAATATTCTACAAACCTCTAGATAATTTTAGGACATTCTAGAAATTTCTGGATATTGAGCTTGACCCAATACTTCCAAATGGGCCCAAGTCCACCAAAGTTATTGGGCCAAATTTACTTAATATTTGGGCCGTATCAAATGTTATTTAAGTGATATACACGTGTCCATTAACACCCCTTTCGACGGGATTTTTTTTATTTTCAAATTCCAAAAATCACTTTTTTCTTCTAATTTTTAGCCATTAACCATATCCATCTTTTTATTCCATTTAATCTAATCTCTCTCTCTCTCTATATATATATATATATATATCTCCTTAAAATATTAAAGGAGAGTTTTCAATCGGACACTTGACGCGATATTAAATAGGCTAATCTATGTGGTGTAAAATTAGACATCCAAGTCCACATGTCGCAACCACATCAGTCTACCATTAAATGGTAATTTTTAATGTAAAATTATAAATTTATAGATAAAACTAAATTAACTGGGAGATTTCTCAAAACTCTAATAGATAATATATTTTTTTACCATCCATATCAATCACAAATTATCTAATTACCACAAGAAAAAAAAATATTTCTACGTCCCTCCTAATTCATCCATTATGTTACGTGGACTAAAAATAAAATTATGGGAAAAATGATTCCGTGGCCAAACAAATCCAAAGATAATATAGTTTAAAACTAATAATAAATATTTTCCGCTATATAAGTACTTTCCTTTACGTAATATAATTTAAAGATGACCAAAAAGAAATTTTAAACTAAATATTAAGTTTAGAAGTTATTCCGTGATTTTAATGATCATTTTACAGTGACCAGAATCGACACTTTTTTATTGTTGAGTGATCATTTTTTAAATTTGGTTTTTTACAAGGACTAAAATTGACACTTTTTGATTATTTAGTGATATTTTTTGTACTTGATATTTCAATAAATATTCAAAAAAACTTTTTCTAAACAACCATCCAAATAACTTTTTGATAAAATACCATCCAAACAACCTTTTCATTTTTCACTAGGTTTTTCACTTAAAACACATTCCACTTCCAAGTCAAAAACGAAAACTAAGATGACGTCCAAACAAGCACTACATCATCATAACAGTATATGATCTGACCTCGATAAGCACAGAAACAGATTCATCAGCAAACTGATCACCCAACAATTAACATTGTTGGCTTCTCATGTCTTGGTAGGTGAAGTGGGCTGAAGCACAATAAGAAGGAAAACACTTCAAGGCCTAAACAAGTTCCTCTCCTGATCAGTGTGACTAGATGTGAAGCTTAGGTTAACCCTCATTATCCGTAAGGGTTAATCACTCTTCGATTTTTGAGGATACACGTCTGACGACAGAACTTGCTGCAATTTTCGCTTACCTTTCTGAATGTACATTTTTTACTCTTCTGCCTCAAACAGAGAGATATCACATAAAAAGACATAACACAGCTCACCAAAAGTCCAGTGTTTGTGCTGCTAAACAGTAATCCAAAGTTCCCCAGATGGAGAGCCTTTTGCTATCTGATTTTATAACTGAGAACATACCAACCAAACTCAGCAATGATTAAACTTCCAGTCGGTCATAGATATTTTGGAGACTTGTTTAATCAAATATCGGTCATAAACTATATCCAAACTTAAGGGCTATGACATTTACACAAGAATAAGAATACCTGAGCAGTCTCATTGTTTACATTGACAACTGAAATCAAAGAATATACTGCTGGTATTTTTTTACCTATAATTTTCCAACGCATTGCTGGAAAGCTTCCAATTTAGAATGTAGGCATATGCCTTTGCTGTTTACAATGTTGCAGATTCAATATGGCCCAGTACTGATTATGACCTTTCTTTGGCTTTGTCAAAATTCATATTCCACCACAATACCACCAAATCACAAGATGAAATGGCACACTTCAATAATCACGTGCGCTTGGAAATGTTTCAGAAAGTCTAAATATTCAGAACCAGAAATCCAGCATTCCACACACACATACACACACAGTCTACGAAGTTTTGGGAATCATGCCAGAACTGCTTCAAGAATCAACTTGATCTGTAATAACTTAAAAATATGCAAAGGGTTCCAACAAGAAAGCATCTTTATTGCATGATTTGGGGATGGGTTTTTACTCTTGTCCTGCTTCTGAAGAACCTCAACCAAATCCGGATTTAGGACAAGTTGAAACATTAACTGTGGGAAATTCTTCTTCTTCTTCTATCTGGGAATGGCTTGAAAATCCCGGATTTTTAGCCTTCTTTTTCACTTTAGCAGTTACATGTGCATTTACATTCCGAAGTTTGCAAGTGATACCTATTGCAGAGAGAATGCATCTGGCTATAACAAAAATGCTTGGCGCTTTAAGGTGGGAGTATGAAGGAATGGAAAATCACGGCCTGCTTCGGAGTCCAGAGAGACCGGAATGTATTCGAGTGATTCGAATTTCGAGAGAGATTCTACAGCCAACTTATCAAATGTTAGGACTCAAGAATGATTTCCACATCTCTGTGTATGAGCCTAAAAAGGAGTTGGAGATGCCAAAAGAAAGGGATGTTATTGATGATACTTATTGGTTTGATTTTTACAAGAAAGGGATGGACTATTATTCGTTTCATCCTCCCAAAATCATTAGAAACAAGCCTCCGACGGAGCTTGCGAAATTCGAGATCAAACATGGTGGAGAGCATTTTGAAGGATTGAATTGGGAAGTGATGGTGGTTTTCCATAATATAGACAATGCTTCTAGTTATCCAAATGGAAGAATAATGGTATACAGTGAGACTCTTACAAATCCAGACATTACAGATGCGCATTTGGCATTTACACTTGGTCACGAGGTACATTACATAAAAACATGATTTTGCTCTTTTTTTCCTTTTCAAGTTTTCAACCTTTTAAATAAGCTTCATTTTCTTAATCCTTCTCTTTAAATATATCCTCCTACATCAGCTTGCGCATGATTTGGCTCGGCATCATTCAGACTTGGCTCCAATCTTTGACTCTCTATTGCAATGTCTATCCGACTACGAACTAATTGATTTATTTCGTCAAATTTAGACTCCCATCTTCAATTTCTTTTCCAGGAGGTACGTCACCTGTCTTTACATTCTTCTCTGTCAAAATAATTGTCTAGTTTGAAGAATAAAAATCCGACAATTATTTTTGGCACAGAAGAAGTATATGTATGTATATATATATGTGAAACACAAAAGTTTAATTTACGTTTCATCATTGGGGTTTGCCAAAATATGTAATTCGATATAGTGATATATTTCACTTGGTTTTCTTGTTTTAGGATGGAAGCGGAAGCGGATCGTATAGGAATGTTTATGGCTGCAGCTGGCTATGACCCGATCCATGCCCCAGAGTATTTCCAGCTAATTGATGATGGTACAGATTGCGATTTCTGGTCTACTCATCCTTCTGCAAAGAAAAGAGCTGAGATGCTGAGAAAGGATGATGTGATGAGGAAAGCTGATGAGCTATTCAAGCTAGTCAGAAACTCAAAGTTTATCCATGAATTGAACAGTGCTCCAATTTATATGAAGAAATCATATCGATTATTATAGTTTCCGTGAAAGTGTTTCTTTTCTTTAACAATCTGTAAGTAGTCTGCATGAATTTGTTCCTTGTGATGTGATGATATTGCTTTGCTTATATGAGGGTTTTTTTATTTAAGGATTTTTACAAAACTCACTCAAGTGATTAGATCTTTGGCTTCTAATGGGAAGCATAAGTCAACCTTTCATCATCCCGTGAGAGTTTATAAAGGAACCTCTTCATATTTGAGGATAAATCATTTTGACTACATAAATTACGTGCAATTGTGTCACTTTTATGTTGTATATTTTTATTACCAAATTAAAATACTAAACTAATTCCTTATTCATCCACATTTACTCTTTTGGTCTCCAAAGACTAAAAAAAGAAGATAATTAGTATGTTTCGTTCCAATTTTATCGGATGTCCTCGAAGGGACGATCATTAGTTTTTTTTATAAAAAAAATACATGTATGTTAGTTAAGAAATACCTAAACTATTAGATTGCATCCTATTATAAGCTAATTTATGTAATTCCAAAATATACTGTCGATTAACTTTAATTAGTTGACAAGATTGAAAAGAAACAAAAAGCGGAATTAAGAGAAAAATAGCTTCCTGAACTTCATTTGGTGTTGCATTGATCCTTAGATCCCCTGTTAAAGTTTCACAATTTGTATAACAAAATGAATTTTATTTTGTTTCTGAAAATTGTTGTTAACAAAAACTACCATACTATAAACAAGGTTTTGAAGGCGTTCCGAATACGAATTCCATGAAATTTCACCGTTTTTGAGAAAATTTCCCAAATCCATAAAAGGAAAGATATAAAAACCCAAATCCAAAAGGGAAAAAAGAAAGGAAATAGGAAAGACGCATCGCCATAGAACAAGGCATATAATAGGCTTCTCTTGATCGCTACTAATCTATGGCGGAAGTAATTAGCCCGGCAAGCGTCGGAGCGGTACTGAACTCTTCAGTACTCTCCCTTTCTCCAGGATCTTCGATGACTCCTTCCTGGGATCCTCCTTTCAGTAATTGCTCCGCCGCACCCTTCTCCCCTGCTCCCCAAAAGGGCCAAAACCTTGTTGATTCAATTCTCGACATACTATCGTCGCCGGCGCCGGCTCTCGGGTCGAAAACGGCGGGCAAAGATAATGGACCAGCCGCCGCCGTTGAACAGCCCAAGGGCGATGTTACTGATCAATCTGCTGCTTCCTCTGCATCTGGGTCTAATGTCGAAAACAAGGATCAGAAGAAAAAGTATCGCCTCCACGCTGAGCCGGAAGCTTATTTGAGCCGGGTTAGTATCAGGCGCTCTGCCATGTATAAGTCACTGGTGAGAATCGGACCGGCGGAAGCCATCGGTTTCGCAAGGAAAATCTCTGCCAAATCAGATCGAGTCAAGCGCGGAATTCAAAGGCGCCTACTTACTATTAAGCAGCGACGTGAGAATTTTAAACTGCAGCGCAGCCGCCTCTCGATGATGATCATGTCTAAAGGAAAGTAGAACTAGGCGGTGCCGGGCCGGGTTTTGGATGAGCTTTTTTTCTTTTGAAAAAGAATAAGTATAAACGAAGGAAGCGATTGAACGGTGGATAGCAAAATATGATCACTTATTATACTTTGGAATGGTGGTATTAGATACTTTAGTTTCTGTCAGAAGTGGGTTTAGTACAGAGTCAAAGATCGTAGTACCAAAATCGTCAGCGTTTCTCCTCTAACTTACTCAAGGAAAATCTAGTCGCAGATTATTGTATTAAAACTTCTTGTTTGCAATTTTTGTATCATTTGACTTTAACAAAATAACTTCTTTTCTCTGGAACGGGAAATATGTCAACATTGCTTTGTTTCAAGCCATTGGAAGTCGCGTGTTGTTGGTCGGATCTCATTTTGAGATATAGTTCCTATCCCGAAATGATTGTCTAATCTGTATTTTTACTAGAAAATTCAAAATGAAAAATAATTTAGGGTTAGAGAGAATATATGATTTTAAGTTTTTCGTATTCAAGGAAATTTTTTTTGGGTCTCTTCCAAACTAAAATACCCTGTAATTCTAAATCAAGGAAATACATTTTTTAAAAATGGGCTTAAAGAAATCCTTTCATCAAGCCATAGAAATGTAGAAGCCTACAAACGGACGATTTCTAGCTCCAACCAAAATCATCCGAAACAAGCTTCCGACGGAGCTTGCGAAATTCGGGATCAAACATGATGGAGAGAATGTGATGGTGGTTTTCCATTATATAGACGGTTCTTTTAGTTGTCCAAATGGAAGAATAATGGTTCACATTGAGACTCTTACAAATCCAAACATTACAGATGCGCATTTGGCATTTACTCTTGGTCACGAAGTACATAACCATGATTTGCTCTTTGCCTATTTCCTTGGAATCATGCAAGGAACCTCTATACTTCTAAATAATGCTTCATTTTTCTTAATTTCTTCTTATTGTTGTTCTAATTTTTCTTCTTCCTCATAGTTCTTAATTTCTGCATCATTCGGAATTGGCTCCAACGTTTGATTATCTATTGCAAACTTTACCCTATTGCAAACTTTACTTGACTGCCAACCAATTAAACTATTTTGTCTAATTTGGAAGTTCATCTCCACTTTTGTTTTATTTTGGTTTTTTTTTTTTAATTCTAGGAGGTAAGTCACATGTCTTTATATATGTAATATATAAAATGCATCCCGTCGTTGTCTCGGAATAATTGACCAGATTTTAATTTTTAGTTTAAAGGAATATGAATACAAATTTAAAACTGGATACTCATTTTGGAAAGAAAAGTTTAAGCAGAGAAGTAATAAAAGCTAGGTTGCTACTCATTAGTGGAGTTGCCAAAATACGTACATCTACTTCTTTTATATCAAAATAATTGTTCAATTTAAATTTTCACTTTTATTATAATTATTACTAAAAATAAAAGTTTAAACTGATATAATTCTCTCATTAAATTTCTTGTATTAGGATGGAAGCGGAAGCTGATCGTATATGAATGTTTCTGATGGCCACGGCGGGCTATGACCCTATTCGTGCGCCCAGAGGTTTTTGAGCAGTTGTTATGCTGGGCACCCGGTGCTACCTAACTGGCAAAGCGCGTGCTCATCCCTTTTTTTGGCCACTTTTTTTATCTTTATATATTTTTTTAATTTTATTAATTTTATGATTTTTAAACCCCCAACCTAAACACTAACACTAGACCCTAACTTAAGTAAAATACTGAAACCCACCTAAACCTTAAACACTAAACAAATTATGTTTTTTATTCGATTTAAATTTTTTTAATTCAATTAGGCTAAGGTCTCGTTTAATTTTTTTTTTAATTCAATTAAGCTAAATGAGACCTAGCCTAATTGAATTAAAAAAATTTATAAGTTAGTCATATTATATCACATATTAAATCCTAACCTATTAATTGAATGTGTAAAAATGATTGAAATTACATTAAAAAATATTTTATAAGGTTAAAAAAATTAAAATACAAAAATAAATTTTTTTTTAAAAAAGAAAAGAGCAATGAGCAGGCGCATTCACAGCTCGCCTGCCCAGCCCGCACCGGATGCTTAATATAATTTGCGGACGAGGAAAGCTGATGAAATATTCAAGCCAGTCAGCAAGTCAAAGCTTTCAAGATCAAACCTAATATCTTAGCTCAGCTATTTGAAGAGCGATCCAAATTTTAAGAAATCATATCAATTATTATAGTTTTCATCAAGAAAGTGTTTTTCTTTTTTTTTGGGGGCGGGGGAAATTGTCACTACAATGCATGAATCAACAAACCTTGTGATGTTATTACAAAACGTTATCTGACAATATAAGGATTTTTTAACAAAATATACTCCCTCCATCCCATAATTATTGTCCAGTTTTACTAAAATGAAAGATTTTATTTTTAGTTAAACTTAACTATATTTTACCTTAAATAACCGGATATATACCCCCACATAAGTAATTATTTAACCACAAAGATTTTATGGATAATGTTTTTTATTAAGGACAAATGTGTTACTTGATCCATAAAAAGTCAAATTGGACAATAATTTTGGGACAAAATTTTTTGGGCAAAGTGGACAATAATTATAGAACGGAGGGAGTATTTGGTTAATGCCGAGGATAGGGTAAACCCATATCTATTTGTACTGTTTTGCTTATATAAGGATTTTTGCAAAACTCAGTCGACTGGAGTTAGATCTTTGGCCTCTAATGGCACAGGATTAGATTGGAAGCATAATTCAACCTTCATCACCTCTTAGGTTTAGAAAACTTCCCATTACTGATTATTTGAGGATAAGACATTTTGACTACAGAATTTAATTAAATTCAACTGTGAGTCACTTTTATGTTGTATATTTGCATTATCAAATTAAAATACTATCCTAACTCCCAATTGCATTTAGAGTTCACCACGTTGAACTAAAACACTAAATTTGTTTACCAAAAAAGAAAAAAAAACTAATAATAAATTTCATTATTTTTGTAAGCCAATAAAAGAGCGCATCTGCAATATACTTTGTTGTTGGCAAAAATTACCCTATTACAAGGTTTTGATTCAAAAATTACCCTTTTAGTTTTGTGGAGCATAAGGCAAATCGAGATTTGCATTCTTTTTTGACAATAAAATAGAGAATTTAATTCCAACACGAAAGTGATAAAAATTGTCAAAGCAAACCACTATAATATGTATATAAATAAGTCCAATGAGTTATAAAATGTAAGTCTATGCTTTAAATAAATTTAGATTTTATTTGGAAAAAAATTCCAATTCAACCCCCGTATCGTGATCCATTTACTGGGTCGACCCAGTTCGACCCACGCATCAACCCAGTTATAGTTTGCCCGAAACGTTAAAATTTAAAGTCCAACGAGTTTTAAAAAGTAAATATAGATTTAATTTGAAAAGAAATTTCAATTCGACCCGCGTATCGTGACCCGATTGCTAGGTCGACCTAGTTCAACCCAGGACCGACCCAGTTAAATTTCACCTGAAACGTCAAAATTCAAAGTCCAACGAGTTTTAAAAAGTAAATATAGATTTAATTTGAAAAAAAATCCCAATTTGACCCGCGTGTGATCCGGTTACTGGGTTGACCCAGTTCGACCCACGGGTCGACTAGTTAAAGTTCGCCCGAAACGGCAAAATTTAAAGTTCAACAAGTTTTAAAAAGTAAATATAGATTTAATTTGAAAACAAATACCAATTCGACCCGCGTATCGTGACCCGATTGCTGGGTCAACCCAAGACCGACCCAGTTAAAGTTCACTCGAAACGTCAAAATTTAAAGTCCAACGAGTTTTAAAAAGTAAATATAGATTTAATTTTTTTTAAAAAAATCTCAATTTGACCCGTGCATCGTGACCCGGTTACTGGGTCGATCCAGTTCGACCCAGTTAAATTTTGCCCGAAACGTCAAAATTTAAAGTCCAACGAGTTTTAAAAAGTAAATGTAGATTTAATTTGAAAAAAAATTCCAATTCGACTTGCGTATTGTGACGCGGTTACTAAGTCGACCCAGTTAAAGTTCGTCCGATACGTCAAAATTTAAAATCCAACGAGCTTTTAAAAAGTAAATGTAGATTTAATTTGAAAAAAATCCCAATTCGTCCCGCGTATAGTGATCCGGTTACTGGGTCAACCCAGTTCGACCCACGGGTCGACCCAGTTAAACTTGGCTCGAAACGTGAAAATTTATGGTCAAACGAGTTTTGAAATGCAAGTTTAAGTTAGAAAATTTTAATTTTAAAAATTGATTTATGTTATTTTTCCAAAAAATTTAAAATTTTTAAATTAGCCTAATAAAAACCCAAAAAGTAAGCCATGACCCGGGGGTCAAAAATTTATACTGGCTTAACTTAAGCAGGCTGACCCACGGGTTGACCTGTGACCCGCGCCAACCCATCTTGACCCAACCCATTCTAACCCGTGCTTATGGCGGGTTATGTTGGATCTTGACCCGCCTACTCCCAAACCCACCTTAACTCAACCCGTGCCTGACCTAACCCGCCCAAGTACCAGCCCTATTTTGAAAGTATTCTGAATCTTAATTCCACGAAATATTACCGATTTATCGAATTGTATATGTCCAGCTTTTGACATGCAGTAATTTTTATTTTTATTTTTAATTTTTTTTACATTAAAGAAAACTAATGCTTAATTAAAACAATAAACAATCATATGTGTTAGAATTATCAATAGAAATAACAAACTTCGCTACCAAGATCTCAAATAGTAAAATTTAAATAGTAATATCAATTATTTAAATAAATCATGTTTCGACTTTCCAATTTTTATATATTTTTTTTAAAACAATCGAATTCCATATCACCATGTGAGAAATTTCCCAAATCCAGAAAAGGAGAGACAGAGGAAAATAAAAGACAAATCCAAAAAGGAAAAAGAAAAAGGAAATAGGAAAGCAAAACGCACCGCCAAAGAATAAGGCCTATAAATAATAGACACAAAGAGGTAAAAAGGCTTCTCTGCTTTCCTCTGTTTTCTGATCACTATTATGGCGGAAGTAATTAGCCCGGCAAGCGTAGGAGCGGTACTAAATTCTTCAGTACTCTCCTTTCCTTCGGTATCTCCAATTACTCCTTCCCGGGTTCCTCCTTTCAGTAATTGCTCCGCCGCAGCCTTCTCCCCTGCTCCCCAAAACCTTGTTGGTTCTATTCTCCAAATACTATCGTATAAGAAGTATAAAACGAAAGAACCGATATATTTTTAAGGTTTTTTTTTTAAATATACATATTAGATAAAATCTAAAACAAATCAAAATACTTTATATTAAAGACGAAAGAGAGTAGCAGTTTACTATTGTATAACTTCTTGTTTCATATTTTTGTATCATTTTAATTTAACAAAATGAACTTTTTTTTTTTTTCCCTTCGGGAAGTGGAAGAATGTAGTGTATGTCAAATTTGTCTTTGTTCCAAAGCTATTGGAAGTAGCTTTTGTGAAGCCCCGTTCTCAAAATCTCTTTACTTGAACATAAATAATGAAACAAGTAACTAGGTTTATGTTAAACGGTAATAGCTTTTAGTATTTACTACTACAAACTAAATAAATTATAAAATTAATAATAACTTTTACCGAGTACATATAGTAATTAAAGGAATGGACAATGAAATATATACTATGTGCTAGGATCAATTAGGTTGTGGTGTAGAAAATAAGAAATGGGAGTGGCTAATTGATTAAACTTAAAACTAGGGGATGATCAAGGAAGAGAAAATTGTCAAAAACACCTCTCCTCAAATGACAACACATGCTCACACACCCTCACAAGTTAGACACAACATTGTTACACTTTCACTCCCTTAAGCCTTCACGTCATTCCTCACCCCTACATCTTCATTTCAGTCCCAATTCTCACCCTTGAAAATCCACCACCATTCCACTCTATTATTCAAACAAAAAAAAAAAGAAAAAAAAACGAACTGCAAAGCAATATTCAAAATTAAATAGTGGTGCTGGTGGAATAGAGAATAGAGGAAGAAGAACCTGTGATGCCAGGGATAGATTGAGTCAGGGAGATGAGTAAAAGAGGTAGCCGATTGAGAGAAGAGGAGGAGGCCGGAAGAATTGGAGGCGAAGAATGGAAGTGCTTGAAAGGTTGGGTCGATTCTGAGGAATCGGTTAGACGTGTGAACAGCGGCAGCCGGCGAGCAATGGGGTCTTGTATTAGTAGCTGAAAAAGGTAATGATTCTGAATATTTGATTATCAATATCTAGTCTTGAAATATGGAGTAATTTGATGAGGTAGAACAATAGTTATATAGCAAACTTTTGTAATTGGAGTTGCATGCAACGTATGTATGCTAAAGATGTCTGATTGTGCCACCTTGATGTCTAGTGATTTCTTTGAGTTTTAGCTGTTGTTTAGAAACCATTGCATATACTAGGAATTCAGAATTGGAAGCAATCTAGAGTTTAGAACAATAGAAATTATTAGATTAAATTAGTGAACTTTGAGCCTTTGAATCTCATAGTTTGGTGGTCATCTCTGCCCAAACTTTCTTGGCTTTCGACTACCATACTCCCAGGTTCATTCCTTCTTTTATAGTTCAATAAGTGGTTTTGTAGATCCTTCAGAATACTTGATTAAACAGGATGTTCCACTATACTTTCTGAAAATGAAACAAAATCAGATTTGACTCTCCCCGTCAGGCCTTTTTCTCAAAGCTCTGGAACTCATTTCCAGGAGTTCTTTTTATGAAATTATTCCTCATTTAAAGTAGTTTAACGCAGTTTTTACGGTTCGCAAAACGGAGTTATAATTGAGCCGAAAATTTGATTTGAACAGGACATACTATTTGCTGAAAATCTGTTTGCAGAGACAGTTTCCAGAGATTTGTTTCTCTTATTTCATGAACTACTTTTACAAATCTTCTGTTGGGAATGTCTTCTATATTGGTTGAAGTTTATTACAGATTTTATGGATTGAAAATTGGTTTTACGGATTGCCCGGAAAACAGGTTTGAACACAACTAACCGAATCTGGAATTTCTGAAATAAACTGATTTGAAGTGTCATTTTACAGACCAGTTTTCTCCCATGTTCTGAACTGTTTTTCTTGATTTCTTCAGTCAGGACCCTTCCTTGTTTACCCTAGTTTATAAAGGTTTTGACGGCTTGTAAATCGGATCCTTGGTTTGACTAAAATTGTACTTCTAATATTACCCTTCACCATTAGTCTTGCTGAATTTTCAGAACCTTGATTGAGTTGCCGATTTGAGACTATGTTTCCTTTGATCATTTACTCTTTTTCTATAGGTATTTCATCTACTTGCATCCTTGTTCGTTGAATTTTAAGCCATAACCTATAAACTTGAATACGACACCTCAATTACTAGGAGATGCAGCTTAGAAATCAATTATTAGACAAGTATCATAGGAATATAAAATTACAGCTAATTGTCTAGTTTTAGAATACTATGAAAGCATAACAATTTTAAATATTCCATTAACAGATTTTGTGGGCGGTCACAGTGAATTAAAGGGCAAAGGTGAGTATCTCCTCTCACACTGTATATTGTAATCTTGTCTCCCTCTTTCAGTGCATGAATGTTGAGTGCTTGTGTGCTTCCGCTTTTATGTGTTTTTGAATGAATTGCAAGCTTGGTGTTAATATTTGAACTTCTTGACATGTGAATGTCTTGTCACTGTTTGGCTGCGTGCCAATTGAATTGAATTGCTTGTTACTACTCGATTGTGTACTTTATCACACCGAAAATCGCTACTGTCATGATCTGTCTTGTAAAGAATACTTGTGCATGAATTGCCATGAAATTGTTGAGACTTGGATGTATACATTATCACACCAGTCTCGGGGCCCCGCTACCGTAGATCGAATCCAACGGGTCGGCATTGGGCACAGACGTATGGATAGACTATGAATAGCTTTAGTAGGCGTGCACGAGCTAGAGTACTTGATTGTTGTGGCCACTTGGAGTGACAGGTAATTGTTAACGGACTTGAAAATTGTTGTAAATGAACTTGAAATTTATCGAATCTTGATTGGAATCTAACTTGGATGACGGCCTATCGGACCACATAGGTCTTTGGCAGTCTCCAGTTAAGATCCACCTGTATCCTCTCGACTTGTATCTTTTTGCCAATATGGTGATGGCCACGGTTATGGTCATCTTTTATATGTCACTCTGTGGCTGATTGTTCTTTTACAAATGCTGCTCACCTTGAAGATCATTTATTTTATTCTTTGAATAGATTAGAATGATAGAACTGTTTAGTTAATCTATAAAGAAATAATGACTAAAATAAACTCTATGAGTAGTTGCCTGTGCATGTGACTTAATTACCGTATGGAGTGTGAGGGACTGAGAGTTATTGTTTGAGGTATTCACTAGGCTATTAACTCATTCCAATAATTTTTCCACCACAGGTTAGCAAGTGAGCCAAGTTTCCGTAAAGCTTTGGCGTGATAAAGAAATAACCATTTGGCTGTTCTTTAATCTAAATTATTTGTGACTTAAATTGTATTAAAATATGTTTACTCTAAGTTGTACATGATTGTATTAAATTTTGGAAATATCTTTGTTGTAAATAAGGCTTCTGCTATGAAAATTCAGAAGTTTGAACATTTAATAAACTAATTAGTGCTGTTCCACAAAGCTTTGAGCGAGAGATCGTCCGGCGGGCGGCTCAATTTGTCATCAAGTACGATTGATATTTTGTCGAGCTGGACATATGGGCCGTCACAGCCTATTAGGTTTTATCTTGTGATGAAAAGAGTAATATATATGGTTTCACGTTTTTCTTGTTCAAGGAAAAAACTTGGCCCCTTCCAAATCAAAATAGCCTGTAATTCTCAAGGAAGGTGATTCGTTTTGTTTTGTTTTTTTTTTTGATAGGCTTAAACAGATCCTTTCATCAAGCCAAACAAATCTTAGGAATGCTTGGAATTATTCCAAGAAAGTTTCTTACTGTTAGGTCCAAAGAAGAAGAGAGGGAAAGAAAATCGAATCAAACTAAGGGCAAAGGCACGTAAGAGTATACATATAAATGCTTAGATTCCATATTATTTTGAGATAATACAGAATACAATTCAAATACTTTTATTCATTACAAAAATGTACCTATACATGTGTATCAATCTGGGAGGGTTATGGTTTCCCCTTTCATTTTTACAACGTTGGAGGTCTCTCCAAAGCAAACCAACCAAATTTCCCCTTCCGATAATCTGACAGAATCCGAAATGCAGCCTGATGTACATCGCCATTGAATAAATTACAAGCAAGTTCGTAGATAAATCTGCCATTGACAAAGAAAAGTAGAAGTAAATCAATTAACAATTGAAAGAGAATGCATTAAACCATGGATATACAAGGATCCTTGGTTTGTCCCCCAATAAATTTCTGAAATAATCCAAGAACTTACGTTTTACCACAGCTTAGATCGGCTTCAACCTTGTACCGTTCCTGGAGAGGCATAGTACCTGGGAAGAGTAAGGTTTATACAATGAATAAACCATTAATCTGATATTACACCAGATAACTATCATCATTCTGTGGCACCATATACTTGCAAATGTACCAAAGCCAGACAAGTTGAAAAAGAAGCGAAAAGTATTTAAATTTTAGTTGACACAGAATTTGTATGAACCTGCATTTGGAATCTTTGAGAGCATCTGCACAAGAATGGCTGCAATGTCGGCAGTATCATACGATCTTTCTCCAATGTCATCACATATGGCAAGTTTGATTGCTGCCGATTGATCATTGATCCTCATTGGAATCATCCCAGGCGAATCCAGCAACTCTAGATCGGTACCAAAGTGGACCCATCTTTGTCAGAGTAGTGAGATGGAAGAATTAGAAACTCTTTTTTTAAGGTAAGTAGAGTCAGCCATGTTATTCTATTTACACGAACAGTAAAACATCACAGCTGTCTTCAAGTAAAGTGTTGCTTCAACAACATGATGGGATAAAAAGTTTAATAAGAAAATTCTCGGCTCGATCCAACTTATATGCAAACATTTTGAAAGTTATAAAACATTCTGTTTTACATGCCCAAGTTCTATATATGGGAAGATCATGATAAAACATACTTTAGTTCCCTGGTAACGCCGGGTCTTGGAGCCGCAGCACACATTCTACGCTTTAGCAAGCGATTTATCAAGGAAGATTTACCAACATTTGGATATCCAACTACTCCAGCTCGAACCTGTAGAACTAGTATATTAATTCTTCTCACAAGAAAATCGATCAAACTGCAAGTAATACGGAACAAATTTCAGTAAACATAGAATACTAAGAGTTGAGAACTTCAACCAATTAAGACCGCCAATTGTTAAAATTAAGTTCAAACTCAGACTCATTACTTCAGAGTGCAGATATGGCTCCTCTTCCAAACTTAACTGGCATATATTTGTTAATGGTGGCCTCAAAACTTATGCATCAAATCTAGAGGAGATTTGTAAAAAGATTAAAATAGATTTGAAGGCACAGCCATCTTCTGGTTAAAATATTGTATAACAAAACAAAACGGTTTCTGCGTGATCTTCATTTTACTATTGCATTGGGAAATGGCTAGGTCAGGTCAATCATTAACCAGCAGAAGTATGTAAGAAACTCACAGCTCGAGGTAACAGTCCTTTTGCTCTGCGTTTCACATTGACACCTCCGGCTAGTTCCTTTGCCAGCCTGACTAACTTCATAGTACCCTGCAATATCACACAACTATGTAATCAAAAGCAAATCAATAACAGAGCAATTTAACAAGAATATCCATTTCCAATACCATTCCAAGCTTTCCATTGGAGAAGATGACTTTTATACCCTGCCTAGCATAATAAGTTGCCCAAGCATTTCTATCTGCCGTTGATATCATGTCTTCTCTGTTTAAAACTAAGATCCTCTTTCGGTTGCCAAGCCATGAATCCATCTGCTCATTTAAAGGGGAAAAAAACAATAAGAAACAAGGTAAATAATCGAGGCAAAGAATATGAGTTTAGCAGAAAAGCTTCTGCAGAGGAAAAGGTAATCAGCAAAATTAAAATGACCCAGAAAAGTCATGTCTGCCCTTTTAAAATTTAACATGGTTGTGGGTAGTCATGACGTTTAAAGCATGTACATGAATCGCATAAACAAATGGTGGCCGAGAATGCATCACCATTTACTATCTGTATATCCGGGAAACCAGCGTAGGTCTTTATATGATTGAACAAACACAAAAGCTTAGAATTGCTTAGTTTTATTGAAATAAGAGAATGCTACTCCTGAACTCGGATCACGTTATTCACAACAAACCTCGTTGTTGACTACAGTAGTTATGAAAGACGTTAAGAATGAAAGGATAAGAAGAAAAATGATATATACAAGAGCAAAATGATAGTTTCAAGAAAGGCAATCATTGGAAATTTTTCTTGGTGTCAACGATTGCAGCCTGTAACAGCATGATTTGCTACAATTTTGTAGAAGGCATAACACAAAAATCCAGAATACACAGGACTCAAAATTCAAGACGTTCGACATGGTCATTGAGGACGAAGATCTTTACCTGCGGGTGGCTTGTTGACATTGGAATTCTTGCATCTCTAACCTCTATAACAACGTCCATCAATTTCAGCTGTTCCTTGAGTTCTTTCTCAGTTTTTGCGATATGGCCAGGAAACCACTGTACCAATAGTCAGCACATGTAAGCTTTCGCCAAGTTAAAACATTTTTAGTTGGCATTAAAGTTTAAAATGTTAAAAGCTAAAACAAAAAGGTAGTCTTGGTGAAATTTAATAAGGTTGGCACTCAGGCAAAAGTTTAAGCTACCTGAATAGGTCGTAATGACTTTGTCCAGTGATAAAGATCAGTCTCCAAATCATCCCAGTCATTTTCTTTTTGGATGTATCCTGAAGTACTAATCACTTTAACACTACCATTTGTATGCAGCCCTAAAGCATTTCCACCAACAACCTGCAAGATGGCGCTTTATTATGATTCTCAACTATAAACAGCTACTAAAGGAAATTTATCACAACAATCAGTAGGTGGCCTTACCATTTATTATTCTTTTTTTTTTTTTGGGGTACCCATCTTAAAACAGCCAGTAATATGGCAAAGAAAGTTTTTTATTCATTCTTCTAGCTCTTAATTTTGCTATTATGGGATAGGTTATGAACGAGTTGAATTGAGGAATACCAAAGTCTATCTTTTTACATGAAAAATCTGCTCATTCTCAGCCAAACTAAAGACAGAAGATGCATTCACCTAAACCAGACCAAGGCACTCCCACCTTGCAATTTCCAGTTCCTTCATGATTTGGTGTTATAAAGGAAGTAAACGGAACTTTAAACATCAGTCTGCCTGTTCATTCTCAAAGAAAATTAGGATTCATTATTAACAGCCATCCTTACAACTCAAAAACCATTAACTCAATCAAGAACTTCATTAATGCTTACATGTATCCAATTTCTAAAATACCACCCTCCTATAGTTTTCACTCATCTAATTCCAAGTTTTCTTACTTAGATAATGAATTCTACAAGACAAGAGCTACGCCTTATAATTGTTGTAGGGAAAAAGAAAATCCAGTCTTGAATAAGTGAGACTTATCTGCTTTAAGACAACATATACCATATTATCTGGTTAAACCCACAATTTATATCTTCATTTTGAATGAGAAAAAGACGAAAAGAAAGGAAAATTAAGGCCGCAATCCAACAAGAAATGAGATAAGAAGGATGCAGAAGATATAGCATTAGGAGTTCAATTTTTTTTTACCTGAACAGTGGGCGAAACAGGGGAAGAGTGAGCAGAGCAGGTGGTGGATATAAGAGAATTGCTCCGGCCATGGATATTATGCTCGGCGAATTTAGAAGCTGTGATGTTGGGCCAGAAAGCAGTGAGGTGAGCAGCCATGGATGATGGAGGGAGAAAAGATTTCTCTTCAGTTTTGCTTCTGAAAATGAAACTATAAATCGGAAAAGGAAAAAGAAACTCTTTTTTAGTCCTTCATTTTAGTTATATTGTTACTATTGTCCTTTAATCCTTCATTTATTATCACTTTAGTCCAAAATTTTCTTCCTTTTTCTTTTAACTCCCTATTTCCTAGTGCTTTTGTCATTCGGTGCATTTTGGTTGTTAGGGTTTTCAGGGGTTTTAGAGAGAGAGAGAGAGAGAGAGAGAGAGAAATCCCATCTCCTTCTCCGACATCTATCGCCTCCGCCACCGCCACCGCCACCGCACTGCCGCCACACAGCCACCAGCAGCCATGGCGAGCACCAAAGTTCAGCGTATTATGACCCAGCCTATCGTGCGTCTTCTCTCTTAGCTTTTCTCTTTTTTTCTTTTAGATTCGATTGTTTATCTTTGTCGCTCGACTTTTATTAATTTTGTTTGTTTGTTTGTTTTTTTTTTTGTTTTTTTTTTTTTTTGCAGAATCTGATTTTCAGATTTCTTCAGAGTGTAAGTAAACCTGTTCTTCTTTCTCCGTTTTAAGGTATGATTTTACAATTTATGCTTTGGTGGTTAATTTTTGTTTGTTTGTTTGTTTTTTTTTTTTTCAGAAAGCGCGAATTCAGATTTGGCTCTTCGAGCAGAAGGATTTAAGGATTGAAGGCCGCATAATTGTAAGTTTTGATTTCTTCTCGGCTTTAATTGTGTTTACGATTATCATTGAAGCTGCTTATATTGCTTGTTATGAGCTTTTGTCCCTTTAATGCTGTTTAGCTGATTATTGAAATTCAGTGGTTTGGAGTTTAGTTGTTGCTGGTTGTTCATTATCAGCTATGTTTTTTCTTTCAACTTTTCGAAAGTTGCTTTCCTCGCCGGATGTCGGTCCGAGCTAGGGATTTGATTTTAGCTTTGTAAGGAAGTTCAAATAAGTTCACTGTCACAATTTTGGGGCATTTGAGTATTGGAACCACACTGGTTATTTTTGATTGAGGAACAAAACCTGTAACTTGTAACCATGAAAATCATAGGTTTGATGTTGGGTTCTTTGGATGTAGCTAGTTATTATATCTATGTACTCTTTTTCTTACCACTTTCTTTTTAGGACGTGTTTGCAGTAGCCATGGCATACTGTGAAACGTGGACTCTTTCGAGGGCCAGATACCCATGTTAAGTTATTTATTATTACTGAATCTAGTGGTTTCGAGTTTAGTTCTTGCTGGTTGTTAAGGGTGACAGGATCTTCTTCTGCTTGCTATTTTGGTTTATATTCATGCTTGTTCTTTCAACTCTTACAATGGGCTAGGGATCTGATTTTGAGTCTTGTAAGGAAGTTGAAATAAGTTCATTGTCGCAATTTTGGGGCATTTGAGCATGGGAACTACACTGGTTATTTTGTTTGAGAAACGAAACTTTTGACCATGAAAGAAAATAATAGGTGTGATGTAGGATTAGTTAGGTGTAGCTAGTTATATTATATCTAAGTACTCTTCCATACTGCTTTCTTTTTAGGATGCATGTTTTCAATAGATTTTCCAGCATTGTACATAGTTTTACAGTTCGTTGGGTAGTTTTGTGTATTCAGCATCATGTGTATCAGTTAGGTGTTGAGTCGGTATATATACTTAATGTGTCTGGGCTTGATTTTGTTTGGTGTTCGGCTTAATTGTCCACTGAATCACTCTGATTTTCAAGACTCTTTTAAAATTGTGTTTTGTTATGGGATAAACCTCTTTTTGGATGGATTTTTTTTTCCGCCGTGTATAGGAGAGATTTGGTTTCAATGGTTGTTATTCTACTGCTTCAATTCTTGGAATAATGATGCATTCTCGTTGTTGCCCTGGTATACTTGTAATGTGGACTCTGCCAGTTTTTTAAGTCTGTATGTTGATCAATGCATTTTTAGTTCACGTTGATGTCGATTGTTGTAGTTATATCTTGAGTTCACTCTCTTTTTTTTTTGCTGAATAGGGGTTCGATGAGTACATGAACCTTGTCCTGGATGAGGCTGAGGAAGTGAACATAAAGAAGAAGAGCCGTAAGGAACTAGGGAGGATTCTTTTGAAGGGGGATAACATCACGCTTATGATGAACACGTAAATTTCACTTCTGGCTGATATATTTACTCGATTGATGCTTCCAACATTCTTTTAACACAGATCATGATGAACACTTAAATTTCACTTGTCCTGATACTCAATTGATGCTTCCAACATTCTTTTAACACAAATTATTGGCTTTATATTTTGCAGAGGGAAATGATGCTTTCCTGAGTCGCTGCTTGGATGGATGGCTGATGCTTTTGTTTTACTCTGACACAGCCCTGGCCAAAGTTCATCACTGTATGGGAATACTCGATAGTTTCTTGAATGCTAATTGCGTAGCTTTATTAGACGCTGTTATATTGTTATATATGGCCGTGAGAATTTGACTAAATTCGTAGTGTTGCCTGTTTGATTCATAAGCTGAACTACTTCCTAACTTGCTATCTATTTCTCGGTGTTGGTTTCTCTGTTCGTGGCATATTAGAAAGGAATTCTAGCTTGAGCTCAACTGAACGTACTAGCAAAATTTAGATGACTGATACGCTGAATGTACAAGAAAGAAACAGTTGACGAAGCCAGTTCATTAATCTCGCCTGACATTTTATTCTCATCAAACTATCAACAGCAAAACAATCAAAACCTCAAAAACTTTCAGCTTTCTTTGGCTTTCTTCAAAGCTGTACTAGGAAAACCAACAAATCTACTTTATTCATTAATTGTACATATATTGTACTTCCTTCGTTCCATAATTATTGTTTACTTTGTCTAAAAAATTTTGTTACAAAATTATTGTCCAATTTGACTTTTTATGAATCAAGTTACACATTTGTCCTTAGTAAAAAACATTATCCATAAAATCTTAGTGGTTAAACAATTACTTATGTAAGGGTATATCCAGTTGTTTAAGGTAAAATATAGTTAAGTTTGACCAAAAATAAAATCTTTCATTTAAGTAAAACTGGACAATAATTATGGGACGGAGGGAGTATATACTAGCACCACTTCTACTATAAAAGTTCTTCAAAACAGCAAAGTTATCAAACTTATGCCTTCAGGCGAAATGGAAATGATTATGACATAAATTCAACACCACTAACAACCGCTTTCAGTATGCCAATCATCTAGAAGAAAACCTAGTGTGCCAATCATCTAGAAAAAAACCCAGCTATCGGCAGGAGGAGGATCAAAAGGATGCAACCATCCATGAGGGCAGGCAGCTGAAAGATTCCCCAACACCATCGAAATTTTTGACATTTTGAGCTTCGATGTTATATATTCTCATCTTATAATCAGAACAAATTTTAGTTTCATTCACAAAATATATACAATTAGCCTTGATTCCGCTCCTTTTAACCCTCTGCGGCTCTGCCTCCTCCGGAACAAAATATATAGAATTGTCTCCAAAACCAGTAATCTTTTCCCAAACTCCTTTTGGAGTATCCAATAGCTGATATATATTGTGAATAAAGCCAGCGAGTCACTAACAGGGCAAAGTCTGACGTCTTGGATGGATTCTGTCAATAGTGCCTTATAAACAAAGTTAATAAAATCATCACCAAAATACTCTTCAAAAATCGGGGAGCTGAATCTGTCTTTGAGAGAAAGGATTCAACAAAGTGACTGCGTTCGAATCAGTAACAGTTAATAACCATCCAAATTTGGCTCTTAAACTCTGTTTCTTAAACTTTGTTTGACATTTGCTTTTGGGAGGGGTAACCTCATACTGTAAAACTCACCCATTGATGTGTTCTGGCATCATGAGTAAAGGAATTCTGGGACGTGAAAGGATTAATTTATCCTTGGGGGCGGCAGCTCGCCAGGAAGTATTTTGATTTGTTTTAAGATTTCACCTAATATGCATTTTTTAATGAAAGAAAAAACTTAAAATATATTTTTACATTCATTGTGTTCTCTTGATTGTTAGGAACTATTTTTAAGATTCTTTCATTAATTAAAAATGCGTATTAAGTAAAACTTACGACAAATCAAAATGATTTATATTAAGGGCTAAAGAGAGTACATCAATAAAATAAATATGTACAAGTAATAATTCATAAAAACGGTCCAAAAATTTCAACACAATCTAAGAGTATAAATAAATTTTGCCAACATTCTATCACTCTCCACTTGATATACAAGCAACAAAAGACCCATCTCTCCCTGATCTAGCTTACATATCATTGACCAGGAAACAGTTCCTGGATAATTACACTTTCTGCTACTATATTTTTACTCACTGGTCTCCCCTTAAGCCTCAGATAAACCTCTTCCTGAATCTGCTTTACAATTTCCTCAACAGAACTGGTTTCAGAGTTAAACAACCTGGCATTTCTTTCTTTCCAGATGTGAAACAACAAAGCAACCAACACAACACACCAAATTCTGAACTTCAATCTGGTCCCTCTCCACACGTCTAGCCTCCCTCCTCCATCTGACCCAATCCTATGAGATATATCCGATGCCAAGCTAGCTTCTAATTCTACTTAACAATTCAGCAGACACAATACAATTAAAGAACAGATGATCATGACTCTTAGGATAAGTCTGACATAATGCACACAGAGGGTCTACCTCAGTGATGGACATTAATGCTAAACGATCCTTAGTCAAGCATCTGCCTTTCCAGATTAGCCAGACCATGAATGCATGTCTTGGCAAATTCAAGTGAGACCAAATTAGACTAGCTTCTGGAACTCTAGGTAACTCACCTTTTAGCCATTTATACCCTGTTGAAACAGTATAGACTCCTTTATCATGAGCCTTTCATTTACAACCATCAAAACTAGGTTGGCCTAGGTCCTTAACTTTTAAAATTTGTTTCCAATGCCAACTAGAATCATTTTTACGTTCGATCTCCCAAATATTAGACCTTTTAAGATAAACCTCATGGATCTATTTTACCCACAACATATCTTTCTTACAAGCAATATGCCAAACCTGTTTCAGAATCACAGCCTGATTCCAGTTTCGAATATCCCTTAAACCTAAGCCCCCTTCTTTCTTACTCCTACACATCACATCCCAAGCAACTAGAGGAACAGACCTGCCATACTGTTTTTATCCCATACAAAGTCCCGACAGATTCTTACAACTTGTTTTATAACACTCTGAGGTAATATAAACGATGAAGCCCAATGAACTTGCAAACATAACAGTACGGAATTAGTTAACTGTACTCTACCTGCGTAGGAGATATTACGTGTACTCCAACACTTGAGCCTCACCATCATTTTCTGAATAAGGCTATCATATTCAAGTTGTGTCCACTTCTTACTTTCTTAGGTGACAGAGGCACACCTAAATATCACATTGGAAAATCCCCTTCTTGGAAATCAGTGATCCCACAGAGCCTTTTCAGCTCGTTCACTCCACCAAAATAGATCTGTGATTTCTGCTGATTAGGAAACAAGCATGTAACAGCAGAGAAGTCTTCAAAACCTACAATAAGACTTTGAACAATTTGTTCATCAGCTTGGCTAAACAACATTAGGTCATCAGCGAAACAAATATTTGTTAGCTGAAGTTTTTTATACAATGGATGAAATTTAAAAGATTGGGATGTTGTCACCATCTTCAACTTTCTTGTTAAATACTCCATTACTAGAACAAAAAGTACGAAGGCACAGGATCTCCTTGCCTCAAACCACGCTTTCCTTTGAAAAACCCAAATGAGCTTCCATTCATCGCCAGAGAAAACAATGTGATGGACACACATTCCACAATCCAACCGGTAAAAAGCTTTGGGAAACTATATCCATTGAGCATCTCTTCTACAAACTGCCACTCCACTGTGTTATACGCCTTTTTAATGTCAATTTTCAATAAACACCTCTCAGAAATATTTTTTCGCCTATATTACCTGATCAATTCCTGCACAATAAGAACGTTATGCAGCATCAGTCTGTTACTAATGAAGGCAGATTGAGTCTCATTCACCAAGATGGCCAAAACATCCTTCATCCTTTCAGATAGGACCTTAGAAATGCATTTATAGACCACATTGCAGCATACAATTGGTCTATATTCACTTGCATCACTAGGGGAATCTATTTTAGGAACTAAGGCCAATAGTATCGCATTCAGCTGCTTCAGGATCCTACCTGATACAAAGAACTCCTGGACAACTTTTATAACAGTTTCTCCCGTGATCTGCCAAGTTTTCTTAAAAAAATCACTTGTGAAGCCATCTGGTCCCGGACTTTTATTGCCCTCAATACTCCACATAGCCCTTTTAATCTCCTGCCCTGTTACAGGTCTAATTAGATCCATCTGTTGCTGAATCATTAACCTAGGTCCTTGCTCATACACTGCAAAGTCAGACTTCCATCTTTGAGCATTGTTTCCAAGTTGATCCCTGAAGAAACTTAGAAAATGTGTCTCCACCTTGTGCCATTCACTTTGCAGAGATCCATCAGCTTCCATGTATGAACATATTCTATTCTTACTGGCTCTCCTCTTAAATTTAGCATGAAAAAACGCAATATTGCTATCCCCCAGTTGAAGCCATTCCTCTTTTGCTTTTTCAGCCCAAAAGGAATCCAAAGCCTTGGCCAAAGAAAAGTATTCCAGATTCAACTTCTTTCCTTCATTCTGCAAGGAAGTATTCCCAAGGTTGCTATGCAATCAATTCTGAACCTCTGTAAGCTTGGTAAATGCTGCTTGAGTTCTTGACTGTATATCTGAAAAACTTCTCCGATCCAACTGTTTCAACGCAGCCTTTAGCCTCTTCAACTTCTGTACCAGTTGAAACATATATGTACCCTTCACTTTAACCTCCCAGGTTGCCTTCACTTTCGGTAAGAATAGTGGATCAAGACGCCACATGTTGAAATACTTGAAGGATTTTGGAGTACCTCTACTTTCTGAATCTGTTCTAATTATGAATGGAGTGTGATTCGATACTCCCTCAGCAATTATTGTGGCAATAGCTCTCTCATACTTCATAAACCACTCTGCATTGACTAGGGCTCGATCTATTTTTGATACAATCCTTGACTCTCCAATTTGCTTATTAGATCAGGTATATAGATGTCCTTGCTGCTTCATATTCTGAATACCACGCTCTTCAATACAATTTTGAAACTCCTGTATTTCCACTAGAGTCACTGGATTCCACCCAATCTTTCGTCCACTCGAAGGACATTGTTAAAATCAACAACCGGAAGCCAGGGATTCTTAACAGATTTTGATATATTAATTTGGTCTTCCCAAAGTAAAGATCTCTCTGAGGGATTATTACCCGCACATACATCTGACAAAAAGAATTGTTGGCCATCTCTTAGGGATACTTTACTATGAACAACTTGAACAGAACTACTTATAATCTGAATCTGCACCACATCCTTCTTCCAAATCAAACAGACTCTTCCACGTGGATGATAGTTATAATTAACAAAATATTCATGTTGTTGCCATGCCCCACTTAAATACTCCGCCCTTTTAGTTTCATTCATCTTAGTTTCCATTAAGCATACTATTTTAGTACTATATACACCAATCAACCTAGCTACTTCATGCTGCTTTATAGGGCTGTTTAGACCCCTAATATTCCAAGACATAATAGACGTCATTGCTTACCTGGATCATGGGGTTTGGACTTATCACCTGCGCCTTTCTGATTCACACTTATGGCTCTGCAACTAGGACCAGCTTCTTCTTCAGTTTCTAAGACTTGAAATCTTGTATCAAATTAATACAATCCAGGGCATCCTATCGTTTCCCATGATCTCCACCTAGGCTCTGAATTGTACCCTGATTAGGAATTAGAA